ATAAAATATGCATTTAAACGTATCTTGTATGTAACAATAAATCGTCTGCCGTCATAAATTGTAAGACTCTTTGCATACCTTCCTACCTGCAATACCTATATCATACATTCATACTTATGATATATAATAAATTAATAACAATATAGTAACCGTAGAAAACGGCCAATGAAAATCGAGTCCCATTGGATCGTTCGGCAAATAGGTAGGTATATTATATTTCACTCTTTTTTTCACCGATCCGTGCCAGTTTAATTTATAATGGTTAAAAAAAATGTATGTCTTCTTTCCTATACACCTATCGGCCAAGGCCGCCGACTGCAAGTCTGTGCCAAGTGTATATATAGGTACTTACATACATAAAACATGCAATGGTTAGATTAGGTGGTTTAGGGCGCAGAGCGTGTGGAATTCATTGGACGTCATTATTCGGACACGGCAGCCACTGCGGGAAACCGGTTAAAACTCAAACATTATTTGTGTGTGCGTGTGTAATGTGTATGCCATAGACACCTAAGTAAGAAATAAAATAAAAAGCGGTATTAAACAACTCGAGACAGTAAAATGGCAATAATTAAAATATGTCTTATATATTATGCGAGTCACATAGGTATATCTACCTAGGGATGTGCATTTTTATCAAAATGTATTTTTGTGAACATTTTCGAAAACTAGAAAATTGTATTATTTATGTTACAATGTAAATAGAAATGAAATAAAATATAACCGGCATTTCGTATGAAGCATACAATAGTTTAAACTTTTGTACAACTGTCTACAATTGCAGCTTATATTATATTGTACTAAATTTGCTTATGCCGCCCGGTCTCTTTGTGGGAGGAGATAAGGTCACTCGATGTTATGTCTGGTCCTAGGGATTCGTATAAGTTTGGGTTTATTTTGTGCTTGAGTCTTGCTTCTTCATAGGATCTACATTTCTCGATAATCTGTTTTACTGTCATTGGTGCACTATTGTCTATTACTATTATAATTTGTAAGATGTAACCACGGTGACCTTAAAACAGTGAATGTAACTAATGCCAACCATTTGTAAACAAAAAAACGTTTTGATTTTCATTACTATTTTTAGTTTTGTTAAAACAATGAAAATTATTAGTAAAATACAATTTATTATTTATCGCTACCATAGTGAAAAACATTTAAAAACGTATATTATGTACAATATTACCTATAATACAAAACTACCAAGGTATTATAATTATTATTAAAATGTTCAACTTTTAACACTTATACAAAATATATTGTGACTAGTGGCGCAACCAGGATTTTTCAATGGAGAGGCTAAACAAACTAAATCCGAGTTCGATAACCGTTGCCTTATTAGTTATTACAATATCCCGTAACTGTAATAACCTCTACAATTAATTGATAGTACGCAAAACGTTTCTTCAAAATCGTTGAGTTTTCAGAAAAATCATGGTTTGTACTTTGCTTTTTATTATATAAGATGTATACCATTATGTGTAAAATGGGCAAGCCACTGATTGCGACTATGTATTTGAGATATTTTTTTAATTGTGTAATATAAACAACTTAGGTTATGCGACCTTGTATTCAATTTTCTAACTTTATGACCAAGCGTAAATATGAAATATAAAGTAGAAAATTACATAAAATCAAATATATAATAGTATGAATAAAATAGCTCAAAAAGTATAAACAAATTTAGGGAATATTTCCTACACAATAACATACATAAATAAAAACAATATCGATTTTGTCGAAAACTGGTAGGTATTGCGTAAAAATACCTGTTTCCTTATTTTTAAAATTTTTATTAAGAAAACAATTAGGAATTTTAAATTTTAAATTTTTACCTCTGGAAAGTACCAACTTTCTCTACTCAGTGTCTAAAAGGATGAATAATTACTTAAGTGATAATATTATTATAAATTATATTATCATTCGACACGCCAAATTCAATATAAGCACAATTACTTTTATCTGTACGAAACATACTCCAATAACTCTTGGGGGCTAATGTTCACACACTGGGGGGGGGGGGGAGAGCACAGGCTAGATATGCCTATGTAACAGTGCGTTAACGATACAAATTAATTTTGAACGGCACGTATTGATAAAATCTGGACGAAACGGTTCAACTGAAAAAATACCACAAACAATAGTATACAGTTAATCATATTTAATAATACCTACGCAAGCATAGGTAGTCACTGTATTTAAACTATTAAACATGGATGGATCAAGAAATATATTTTTCGTTTCACAGAATAAAGACAGTACTAACAATATTTTATCAGCTTTATTATTTGATTCAAGTCCCCGAAGGACGCAATACAAAATCTACAATTTTACCATTGGTTTATGCTCTATAATGAATAGCAAATCCAAAGAATCTTATACCTACATTCCTTTATTTAATATCTAAACCCATACTTTATTTTGACAGACTTCGAAGAAGCAGCAATTGAAACAGTCAAAGAATGGTCTCCAAATACTCAAAGACGTTTATGCCATTTTCATTTAAATCAGAGTATTCGGTGAAAAGATTAACAGTTAAATATGAGGAATTTATGATTTATGATAGAATTTAGAATTTTAGTTCAAAATTTGATTGCTCTTAGTATTTTTACACCTGCTGAAATTCCGCCAGCATAGATTGAAGAATGAGTTAGAACATGAATTAGGCACAGAATATCTCATAAGACGATTAGAATAGATATTACCTACCAATTATTTAAGGTGATTATATTCGTGGCCGTAAAAGAAAAATCCTACGAAATGGCAATAACATTTGTGGCTTACCAGTGCCAGTGGCGGATCTAACACCCGGGCAACCTGGACATGTCCGACTGGCCCCCCTTGGCGAAAATAATATGGTTAACATTAGTTTTAATAAATAAATAAATGGGTATTATAATAGTTGTGCTATACTCCGTTCGGCGAGAGAACACGGCGGTTTCTCGACGATAGGCGACCAATGCCGATGCCGTTCACGTCATGCCACCTGGCGACGACACTCAATTACTCGCCGAACTGAGTATACAATAAAAAAAACCATATTATTAAAAGTTACTATATTATAAGGAATATCATGATATTATAGCAATGAGCTAAAAAAACCAAAACTAATAATTTTCATCGTCGTCGGACGTTGACAACGTTTGACGACTATCGAGTATCGACCCACGTAATTGCTTTTATTTTTGCAATTTATATTTCTTTGATATCATAGAAGTCTGAAGAACACGTCTTTAAGGGGATTGGTGGTGAATAGTTTTTAAGGAGTTCAAAAAAGGCAATTTTCAAATTGCTTACATGCGGGTCTTGTAAATGTGTGAGTAGTAAGTAATGTTTTGCGTGTGTGACCGTGCGTAAAAGAAATAGCGAAGCGTCCCCGCACGCACAAGTAAATGTCACCTACTCACTGTTGCACTAGTGAACGATAAACAATTTATTCTAATTTGTATGCACTTTTTGTTCATCCTACCGATCGACCTAATAAAGCTATAATATTTTAGCAAACCGATCTGAATTCGTTATGTCTACTCGAGATCGGCCAGTCCACGTTTTAAGATTTTTGAATTAAATTCCGAATAATAAACTTTGGAAAATTCCGACATTTTAAAATATTAAATGACAAATTGTAATCAGTTCTAAAAAGTATTATAGTATTACTAGGTCGATAAGTAAGATGGACAAAAGATTGGTATGTTTTGGCTAAAATAACTGCAATCCGCCACCGATAACCCTAATTAAATTAGTATTTTTATAATAATAATTATTATATTTTTTTTTTTTTTATTTTTTTTTTAACATATATTTACAATCTATTTTACAATAATCAGTAAGTATGAATGTATGATGACAAAGTTTATATGACATTATGAAATATTCGAATAGGAAGACCCTCAGTAGTGTCACCTGACCAGAGATAATTATTATATTATTTATATTAATAGCATAATTCTTGTGTATGGATGATATTGTATAACTGTATAAGAAAAATGGTTTTTAGTTTGACCTAGAAGTAATTTTATGTAGAATTAAATTCATAAGAATTTAAAAAAAAAATTTGTATTTATAATTTGAATGCGTAACTAATTGTATTTTATTCATTTGTATTCAATATTTATGTTATTTTTAAGTAATTGAAACAATTTTTTTATAAGTTAGAGTTAGAAGTTTTATGTTTTTTTTTGGGGGGGGGGGGGGGGGAATACTTCGCTCGCCCAACCCTGTTTAACATTTTAAAGAAAATACATATTATAATTAAATGGAGGTGCAGGCCCTAATTTTAAATGTCCGACCGGGCCATTTTTTTTAGATCCGCCACTAGTTATTACCACTATTTTCTCCAGAACTATAGTTCTATACCTATATTATAGGACAAAATATGGCCAAAACACAAAATAACATGAAAGCATTTCGTAGACATTGGGAAAGTAATAATGCCTTAAAGTAAAATACTTTAATCATAATATCATAAAATATACTTAGTAATCTCATAAAATGACAGATGACGGTCTTTGCGTGGAATCATTTTTCGTATACAATCGTTTCATATCATTTAATTCAAATTTGAAAAATCCAATACACCGACTTCTCTTGACCCCTAATATAAATCAAAGCATTACCCAATTAATAGCTTTTTAATTTTAATTATTTTAGTAGACAATTGTTTTTTACCACGATTAATTTAAATCGATCAATATCTTCTTTTGTTTACGTCAATATGTTGACTGTTGGCGTTTCGAACCACTCCCAAACTAATGGTACTTCACTAATCACTATAACAATAATAGCTAGACATACACCTAAAAAAACAAGGGGAGATAAATTTGAACTTGGGAGTGCTTAAGACCCTTTTGAACCCCCAAGTTGAACCAATGTATTAACCATGTTAAATTTTATACTTACACAATTGACAGTGACATATTAGTACATACTCATAACCCACAAGATACATTTCCCCTCTTAATATTTTCTTTTTTTTCAAGACCAATATCATGTCATTATAAATAAAACAATAAGTAAACCTTTTTTTTTTTAATTAACTGTTTTAAAAGATAATTTTTTGTAATTTTTAAATTCAAAACATTCAACAATTAATGCTTTTCATTGGAATCAAGTAATCATAATATGTTTAACTAATACAGTAAATAAAATAAATACCAATACTTTTAAAATCAACACTTATATATATATAAATTTAACTCTTGTTTTTATACTTATTATAGCTTAAAGTAAAGAAAGTTGTGAATAGGAAACTTGTTGCATTGAATTGACTCATCATTTTGTACTCTCTTGTGACGACAATTGTTTCATTTTGGTATAAAATATAAAATCGATCTCAAGCTTGACATGTTGTTTAATGGTTGTATTTTTTATGTTTTTAAGCCTTTGTATTACATACTCCCCATATAGTTGGTCTTCATCAAGCTTACATATTTTTTTGTTTTCGAAAATCTGTGTGTTATTTGTCAACGGTGGCCAAGTTGTTTCATCACAGTTTGATAAAACTTTGTTTTGTGATTTAACAGTTTCTATGAATGCTGAGCCATTTTCAACCTAAAATAAATAAATTTATATATCAGAATATTAAAACTATAGAAGACATTGAGTAGATTATTTGATTACTATGTACCCATATGTATGAGTATGTTAAATTTAGGAGACACACAAAAATAAAAAATAACCATTTGCAACCATGTATTGTACTTCATGCATTAACTGATTATTTACATAATACATATAAAAGTTAGCTTATATCTAACATCACAATATTATAATTATTGTTACCTAGGTACTATTAAATTATGTGTAATATACAGCCATAAAGATTATGGGTATTCATTACACTAAAAAAATTTTAATTTCATTATTGAAATTGCACTGTAATATTGTGCTATAAACCAGGAGTACTACTACATAATGGCTAAAATCTACTACTTAATCCTTTGTTCAAATTTGGGGCCATTAATAGTTACAACTTCTCTTATAGTCTATACTAATGCTCTTTCATCTAACAACAGCCCTTAACTAAAACCATTCTACAGGTCATCACCATCCACACAGGTTTAAAAATGTAAACAGTAACTTTACATGTAATTTATTTGTTTATGTTAATGTTTAAAGTGCCTGGTGCCAATAAAATTTTGTTTCCAAATAAGCTATACGGGAATAATGGACCAGTTCTGTAGCATCAACCAAAAATTCAATAACTTTTTTTAAACTAATAGAGAATATACTCAATAGGCTACATTAAACTCTGTTTTTCAATATTTTAATAAAAAACTTATTCAGTTTTTAAAAATAAGACAATGTTAAGCTTTTTTACAAATTATTTGAAATAAAATAAAAAATTGGTATTCAATGGGCCTGTAAGTTCCTCTTAAAAATAAAACAATAGTTATCAAAATCCAATTACAATATCCAAGGCCTAAGGATGTTTCCAATGAAGTCATATTTTCTATACAATACACGGTGTCCACTACTCTCTAAATAAGTATTAGGCTATAGATTAGTGAAAAAGTAATATAATTAAAGTGGCAACTAAAAATATAAAACATAATTCTAAATTTTACAAAATTGTGGAAAATTTGAAAAACTGGCACCAAGCCTCTAAATGGTGGGATATAATAATGTTAATTAATATTTGTCTAATAACAATAAAAAATATATATAAATACAACAATTATCAGCAAACATTATAAAATTAATTTAATATTATTAAAAAACCAATAAATATAATTTTTTACCAAATTATCAGTTGACATATTTACAAGATCAATGTTTTCAGTTGTCTTTTCCATAGGTACATTTGCTTGATATGGAATAGTCATCAATGTATTAACCAAATTATTTGATGATGTAATCTCACTATGAATCAGTTTGGCTGCCTAAGTTATAAAATTACATACATAACTTAAATGAAAGTAACAAAATAATAGTTAACAATGAATAAATAAAGTTAATACATTGCTGGTATTAGTGTCATCATGTTTATGTTCATATCTACTCTTAGTTTTATCAAGTAACAATTTAGTATTCTTCATAATCATTGGATCTTCCCTATTTGTACTTAGTTTTTCCATTAAAGAACAATCACTGTTTTTGCTATTATTAAAGTTAGAGTATTTGGATTCTATAACAAATATAAACAATAATTAATTCGCTTCCAACTAATTAATCTTTAAAAATTGTTAACTCGTCGTTAATCGCTTTGGTGTATTTTAAAACATTAGTCTCATCTTGGTGTTATTAATAGCTCAATATAAATTTAAAATACAAATGATTTTATTTTATTCATAATTTTAAATTGCATTAACACAAATCAATATTATGATCATACTTACAAAACTTAATGACAAAATATTATCATATGATATTTTAAGATGGTGAAGTTTTACTAACGCCATGAATTTTTTATTAGTTGATATGACCATAATATTATGTGTATCAAGCTTAAATTTTATTTAACCTGTGAATAATTTTAGAAATAAATTACTCATCATATTTAGTTAGTTATAATGACTTGATAATAATGTATAATACATTTTAAACCTAGTTAAAAAAATATAAGTTTAATAGATGATATTAATTCAGTTTTTTTGACCATAGCAACTAACGATAGGTTGATATAAGTGGTTCACACGTTAACGACCATAGACCAACATTCAATTGACACGTGAGAATCTTAAAAAAATTTATGTCAAACTTATTTGACATGAGACTGTAGTAAATAGGGTTTCCTGACACATGCTTTTCTTCTAACAACATAAATTATATGGTTACTTTAAAATTTAAAATTGTATTTGTTTATTTACCAGAAGAATAAAAAATTTGATTCCTGGTCGTGAACGTGTTGAAATCACAAATGTACAAAATTAAAATTAATCAAGTACAAGCAACTTTTTATAAAATTACAAAAATCACCATAATAATAAATCAATACCTTTGAAGCTATCAGTATTGTTTAACTCTTTTTTTTCTTTTTTTTCTAGGTCTATACAATTTTTATGTGATGAACAATATTCAACCAATTTTACTAATGAAGTTTTTTCCCTTATTACTTCTACCGGTTTTGATGATTGTAAAAAGTTCAAAAGAGAACTGTGTTCTATAGTACGGTTGTGTTCTTGGTTGTTTTCACCAACAACAAACATAAGGCACGTAGAACAGTAAGTTATAGGTCTATCTACAGAGTGTTCTTTTTGATTATGTTTATCCCACACATATTTTTCTACAGCTATAAAATCACATACATCACAATAGTATGACAAAGTTTTCATGACAAGATCATCATATTGTCTCAACTTTTTCAACAAACTCATTTTATGTTTGAAATAATTTGAGTATTGTTGCCGATGTTTACTATGATTTGGTGTCAACTTTGTGTGTTCAATAAACTTATTACTGTCTCTCTGAGCATCATCATTCAATTTGCCAAGGACATTATTGTTTACAAGAGACTTCTGAAAATTATTTATTATTATTTTTCAATCATGACCAACAAATGGGAACTGCTATTATATTGATTATACTAATCATTCAAAATACAGTCAACATCATAATATAACACTTCAATTATCTTAAGATACCAAAAAAATAAAACTTCAAATTAATCACACTAAATTAAATATAACTATATTTTGATATAAGCTTAAAAATTGTAATTAATAAAAATAATTCAATTACAGAGAAATAGAAATAATTATAATTACAATTTTAATACAATGATCATAAAATAAAGTTCAGTGTTAATTTTTCAAATAAAATAATATAGTAATATAATTTTCTATTTAAAAAATTTCAGTTAGGTTAGGTTAAACTTTTATAAAACTATACTAATACCTGAACTTTTTGTATACCATCCAAGAGTATTCTTCCATCAACATCAAGATTAGTTGGACCTAAAATCAAACATTATAGATCTATATTTTCTAATTTACTTAAAACAATAATTTAAAAATTATAAATTGTTACACCACTAGTTAATTCATTGAATACATACAAATAATTTAAAAATAAACTAAATCACTCTTTATTTACATCTCCGCATGTGCATTAAGGAAACTTAGCCCCACCCAGCTTTTTTTTATCACATTTTAGTTTAAAATATTAATTATTATTGTTTGCGCTGCTGATACAATTCTAACCCTCCAGAAAAATGTTAATAGTTGCGGTCAAAACAATACTTACCCATTACTTAGACTAGATAATAGTAAATTTAAATTTATACAATACATTTAAATTTTCTATTATTTGAATCACATTTAACATTCATTTTTAATTTTAATAAGAATACATAATTAATAAGTATTTAGTATATACTATCTACTGAGTGATTCTTTTGATAAAAAACTCATTGGCCCAAATAGCATCAACCTTTATGAAATGATTATAATAACTTTACATATCTACCTATTTTGCTACTAGTACCTATTTAACTACTCGTTTAAAATTCCCAAATATGTTGTTTTGTAATGATTTCTTATCATATAAAAATTTATTTTGAAAAACATTAATGAGTGTTCTTGTTAAAAGAATCAATTGTTTTTAATAACTTACTTTTATTTAATTGTTCATTTTGCGTGTATTTACTTTTGATGTCATCATATTTTTGAGATACTAGAACATTCGGTTCAATCATACTTGATTCTATGGTTTGTATGTTAGTTGTACTCAATTTTTTTATTTTTTCATTTTTCATCACAGCTTTTGGGGTAACAAAACTCAAAATAATATGTTCACTTGTAATTAAGTGCCAATTATAATCAGTAAACCTATCAAATGTAATTTTACAAGCATTACATTGAAATGAGTCTGTTTTAAAAACTTCTATAGGTCCACTAGTACTGTGATAATGTTTAAATGTATTCATATTTGCATTTGTATTGAACTCTTTGAAGACGCTTGCCATAAATATAGACAAAACAGGAAATTCTGTAGTCTTGAAATCCTTATGACATATTCTAATATGATTAAGAATAACGAGTCTATAACTATACATATACCTATTGCATAAATCACAAAAGTATGAATAATAATTATTAGTATCACAGCAGTTAGTGAGATGTGAATGTGACATAATATGCAATTGGTGCTGATTCATGGAATTTGTAGAATGATTGCATACATTACAATCAAATGTATTTATAGTTATTTTATTTGAATCTGTTGAATCATATGTGTACTTACATTCTAACAAATGTGATACTATAATTTTACTGTTCCAAATTAATGAAGCACTACATAATTTACATAGACCGCAATATTCATTGACCTTTTGAAATCTTGTTAATATTATGTATGGCAATTTAATTGAATTTGTTGTTAAAACATTTTGAACATTTCCTAACAAATTATTCTCATTATTTTTATTTGATTCTTCTGATAATTGAATATGTTTTGAGTTTATCTTAGATTCTGAACATAATTCATCAAAACACTTTAATGTCATATGTTCTACACTTAACAAATGATAATCAATCATTTCTTGGCTAGATAAAAATGTAACCCTACAAAACCTGCAATAGTATTCAATAGGAATTCTGTTTCCTATTTTGAATTTTATATCAGTATGAATCGGTGTTTCTGAAAAGTGTTTACAGTGTGAACAGAAATATAAAGGTTTTAGATTATCTGCCATATATCGTTTCATTACTTCCGCCATTAAATTAGACATACTAAAAAAAAAACTATTATTTGAATGTTTGTCCATATTATGTTTAATTAAAGACTCTTTGGGTCCATACAATAGAAGTTTGCATATTTTTTCAAAACAGACATATGAATACAAATTGTTTATTCTGTGACAATCAGCCATATGAGGTAATGACATAATATGACATTTCCAATCATTAAAATTAAATGTTTTAAAACAACACACAAGGCACTCAAACTGTTTTATTTGTTGATATTGACTTAAATTAATTGTTGAGTTTTTTTCATCCCACTGTTGTACTTTGTCCAATAATTTACTAATATCAATTTGTGAATCTATTTGAGCAATTATGCTACACATAGAACAATCTTTACAAATATTATTATTCAGTGATTTGACTTGGTCATTTATATATTTTTCAAAAGTTTCATATTTTATGGTCTGAAAAATAATTTATAATTTATAGAAAATATATCATTATGTACAAAAGTATAATATTATGTCACTACGTCTAGGTTCAGTGTGGTAAACGGTAAATAAGAATAAATAATATTAACATCATTATCACGTATAATAAATAGAGTACTTATAAAGTATTAATGTGCTATAGTATTTAGAGGTTCAAGAGGCCCAAAAGATTGGATATCACTGATTTAGAGTATTGAATTAATTGATAAATCATTGCGTACCAAAAAAATCATTACTGACAACAAAGGAAACTAGTAGGTACATATATTTCAAAGGATAGTTTATCAGTTATCTTTTACCTACAAAAGGTAGGTAATCCATTACATTAAGATTTTAGATTTAGAGCAAAGCAATTTGATCTTACAATAATGCGTGCCTGTCGCCACTTTTTGGAGCAGTTAAAATACGTTCATCAACTTCAATATACTTTCTGGTAGGAAAAGATTTTTTGATCAAAAAGCTTAAAAATGATAATGTAATACAAGATCCCACATAAATATGTTTCATTAGCAATTTAAAGATATATATATATTTAAATTTATATTAATTTTTTTTTATTTGGCAATCTGCTACAGTAATAGAACAATAAATTAGCTTAGTTGATACTATACTAGTAATACACACAGGAAAAAAAGAGTGAAGAGACCTCCCATTGGAAGTACCTACTTCATCAAATTTAAAGATATTAATTTGTTTTTTTAAGCATTTGAAGTTCAAATTTTGACAAAATTGGATATACAGACCTGTACCTATTTGACGGGCAGTTCAAATGCAACCATTGTTGACTGGTTTAATTTGTGTAGAGACGTGTTTTGTTCATTATTTGAAAAACGTGAAAAGATGGGAGAACAAAATATAGTGGTACAAATTGATGAATCGTTATTGAGAGGGAGAAGAAAGTATAACCAAGGAAGACTGCTGCTAGGTGATCTGCGTCATGAACAAGTACAAGATAACTCGGCAGACTTCAATTCTGACAGTGATCAAGAAAATCAAATACCTACATCAAACAGAAATTATGGTCGTAGACTAAAAGGACCCTGGGTATTCGGCTTATGTAGCAAAATCTGAGATAATTTGGAACAAAGATTTTTTGTTGTAGAAAAACGTGATAGAGAAACTTTAATTCCGATAATGGAAAAAGAAATATTACCGGGTTCTATTATAATGTCAGATGAATGGAGAGCATATTCTTATTCTTGTTTAAAAAATATAGGCTATGATCATAGAACAGTAAACCATTCAAAAAATTTTGTTGATCCAACTACTGGAGCTCACACACAAGCAATTGAATGTTCATGGGGAGTATTAAAAACTATGACCCTACGAAAAATGCATGGAACATCAGCTGAAATGTTGCCACGTCATTTAATTGAGGCATGGTATCGATCTATCAACAGGCAAGATACAATTTTTTTAAAATTTTTAAGCGATGTACAAAAAGTGTATTGCCAAACATAATTTAATTTTATGCATTTTTTAAATTAATTTTGACTGATATTGAATATAATTCGTAATCTGTAATAATAAAATAACGCCTAATTATATAAATTTAATTTAAATGTTTTAAAATTAATCATCGGACCGGTAGGTCACGCATACAAAACGATCACCCTAACGGTAGGTCACATACTAAACAAATACCCTATCTTTCAATAAACTATTATAAAATTGAAATTCAACACAATAACAATTACAGTAACTTATTCAATAAAGAGGTAGTGAGGTAGACTCAACTCTTACAGTAACCTATTTGCCCACTTTTTACTATTATATCCATAACTAGTTTTTTCTAACAATATCACAATAGGTAACTTATAAGTCAACAATAATGTACCAACTGTACTAGTATATATGTATAAATAGCTTAGAAGTGGCATAAATATTTTGAAAATCATAAAATGTATATAAAACATTACTATAATACTAGGGATTTCCTGCTTTGACTTTCTTAAGAACAAACTAGATTGGATTAGACACTAGAAACAAGCTACAACATTGAAGACTGAAGCACCAACATTTTCTGAACCAAAACATAATGACAAAAAAACATTTTAAACATATTATTGAAAAATAAAATAAAAATGAAGACTAGGTTATCAAGGTTCAGTTATCTAAAAATAAATAGTATGTAATAAAATTAAATAAATAAATGCATTTTAAGGAATTGGTAAATAGGATTATTGACACTTTAAAGTTGAAATCAATATTATGTTCATATTACTATGTAGTATTAGTATACTGAAAAATATCAAGTTACCTTTGTTTGTTTCTCAAAGTACACACGTTCTGCATCAGCATAATTAGATTTATCAAGCCACACTTTTTCTTGAGCTAAAATCTCCAATGTCATTTTGATCTAAAAAAAAATTTTTTTATTAATTTTATAAAAAATTACCTTATCTAATATAAGTAAATACTTATAGGTTTTTGTAAATTAATTACTTCACTATTTATAGAAATACATAAAAAAAAGAATTTTTTTGACAAAAAATAAAAACAGCTCTTTTAAAGTTGAGTACTTCATAGAAACTATACATGTTCAAATGTAATTTAAATAGATAAGTCAATCAATAATTTCAAAAAGATTATCAGTTTAACAATTTACAAATAAAAGGATGATTTTCTTTTGAAAAAAATTGATATACCCACAGGACTCTTTAAATAGAATAAAAAAATCTAAATATTTCAAAAGATGGTCATTAATTAAGTAAACAAAAAATTTAAAAAATCAAAATATGAATAAATTCATTAATAAAAAAAAATATGAGGGTAAGCATGCTTGGTGAATCATTCTACATAATACAATTATAGACAGGTATTAATTAAAATTTATGAAAAAAAAAAGGACATTATGGGAAAAATTAAAATTCAGTTTACTCTATTGTAATTATCATGGTTTGAAACGTATTTATATCTATAATATTATAAGAATTAGCTTTCATTCATATTCCCCTCCAATAAAGCATTTGCTACAAAATCCTGGCACTATACTTGTTAGATATTATGGTTATTAGTGATTATTATTTAAATCACGCCTCGCCACGTGTAATATTCTTCTAAGACACACGCACTCGCGGTAACAGAAGTAACGGAGTAAACGGCGAATGGCGATACCGCAAGGCCGAACGCCGACGATGACTTTTGAGATTGTTTTTGTATCACCATCTCGCGTCATCAGGAGACAACATTGTAGTCAGTAGAAATACGGAAAAGTCGGAGCCTCAGAGACCCTCATGGCCACCGTCGGAATTATTATTTTACGCATAAAAGTTACCACATTTTGTTTTTAACTCCGTTTAGGTTTTGGTTGTTAGCATAATCAAAAAAATATATAAGTGTATTCTACATAATACTCTGATATTTTTTGAAAAGTTGAATGTTAGATTAGGAATTAAATTAATAGGTTTAGACGGTTTAGTAGTTCGTCAGTTTAAACAACCAAATTTACACGGGTTAACTCAGCTTTCAGATACATTTTCAGGTTAGGTTAGGTTAGGTCATTTTCAGAATCACATTTAACTGTGCCGTAAACAGGATTTTATCTTAGGGAGGGGTATTTTATTGCTAAGGCTAGGGTATTACCGGTACTACCAGGTATAGTAAGTTTGATATTTCGGGGGAGGCTTAGGCCTTTAAGCTTATAGCTACGGCACTGGCATTTAGACTACCGTAGAACGCTTTTTTGTTTTTTTTTACTTTGCTCAAGCCATGACTTTGGAGCTGGATTTTACGAATTTACAATATTATAGTATTTTGTAATTAATTATTTGTGCAAGTATGATGAATGAGTTCAGAGAATATAATATGCAAATTGATGCCAACTACATTTGAAACGAACAGTGACTGACATATTCTTATGAAAAATAAAAATAAAAAGTATAATTTTAAGTGATTGTTTACATATTTACACCACTGTGTCTAACTAGAATTCAGATGCAAATTGAATTGTGAATACTATTTATAACTTTACAAAGGGCAATAATAATAATAATAATAAGAAATAACACTATGTGACCATATTATTATAGTTGGTTTCACGACAATGTTCACCGATATCTACATACGAGTACTCGATAATAATAACCCATATGTCAGCGGTTCCTAAACTTTTTCAATTCACGGCTTCATGCCACCCCCAAAATTAAAAAAAAAAAAATTGCGTCTCCCATAAATAAACAACTATTACGGAAATCCCCGAATCAAGTATTTTTTTTTTTTAGCCTTTATAAAAATTTGGCTCAAAATCAAGTAAATTATTGTATAACGTGACTTAAAGTAATACTGAAATAGTGAAATATTTGTCAAGAATGGTTAAGACGTTCCACCAAAATTATTGTTGATTAAAAAATATCAATATTTACCACAAGACTCGCGCGAGGTTTGGGAACCGCTGCCATATGTAATAGGTACATAATTATTAAATTTACAGGGATTCACCATACTTGTTTTGGTATGCTCAACACATTTTCTTCAATACCTATCTAATACAGTTATTTAAAATCTGATTTACGTGCCCCATATCCATGCCCTTTACTACCCCGCCCGTAACGCATAACCCGAAAGTGAGCCGTGTTACATAGGAGTAGGTATAGGACATACCCAAGTCCCAGAACCTCGAGCACATTAAACAAAATGTATTGCTGTTGACTGCAAACAATTCAAAGCTATAGTCAATTATTACTGTAGCAGGTAAAACATACTACTTCAATCTCAATTCTCTGAAGATAAAGCCCGATCACCGATCGTCAAAAATTATAATATGTGATTACTTAATACTTAACCTAAAAATATTATTGTTATAGGAAATCGCTTAATTTTATATTATGCTATTTAATATTTTTGTCATTATGAGAAATACATTATACAGACTTAATACTTACAGATAAAATCAAACAGGTATATAATTTTCAGGAAAAAATAAAAAATTCACAATTTTAATAAGTTTCTGCCAATTGTTCAGTCTTTGGTGTTGAGGTCTACCAGATGGCAGACTGGCGGTTGGCGAGATGCTGACATGCACGATTTGTTAAATTTGCGACGTAACAGAAACAAAATAGATCAACGAGCTCCGACTTATGACAAAGAATATTTTGACCCTACACTCTTCGCAGTTTCGCACAGTGCACACAGAAATACAGAATAACAACTCATGTACCCAACTGAGCAGTGACAAACGGACAACTATGGTACTATTATACTACTATGGTAGGTAGTACGGTTTACCAAGCGGCAAGCGGCAAGTACTAAAATCATAGATATAAAATGGCCCTAATGTCCGAACCACTTTAACCATACTTTAACCGAGTACCCTGCTACACAGAATAGGTGAAATATATTATATTGTGTTTAACGGTAATAGATAAAGAATTTGGCGCGTAATTTTTATCAAATCCTCTTCGATCTATAGCACAAACCACTATTTCTGTAACTTTAAAAGACTTAAAACGCAAAAATTGCACAACGATATGTTATTCTATATTCTTGAAGTAATCATGGCATCTGGTAACATTAGAAAAACGGAATATCATGAACAAAACAATTGACAGCTATTCTAACATTTTTCTTATATGAAGAATGTATTGAGTATGTGCAGAAGCAATGTCTGACATACCTGAAAATAAAAAGAAAATATGAAAATTATCTTAACCATAATTAATTTAAATAAGCGAAACATATAAATTGGTTTTAAATAACTAACATTAAACATTAAATTTTTTTTTTTGGTTTTCTATAGACCTATTTTAGTTCATGTTTTGATAACACAGTACATTGAATGCTAAATGGTTTTAACAGTATTATATTCTGCGTTTATAATTATTCATTAACATTAAAATAATGAAACCACTATAGGCAAAATTAAACATATATATTTAGGTTATGGTGGGTTTGATTAACTATGTTAGCAGTACTGCTGTAACCTGGAGTCACAGTTCATAGATAGCGTTTACCAGTTTACCACACAAGACTTTAACTAAATATTGTTTTTAGTATTTGGTTCAATGGTGTTCACTTGTTCAAAGTCCATTTTCTACAAATTATAAGCTTACCATGTATGATATAGACTGAACAATCAAATAATTAAGCTATTGTAACTTATAGGTATGTAATTCAAAAATATAATATAAATGGGTACAAAACTCTGATGTGCACTTAATTATTATATCATATTACATACTGTAAAATGTCTAAGTAACAAAAATTATATTTGATAAGTAGACATTTCTAAAATATAATGCATTACCATTTACCATGATTAAATATATCTTTAATCGTGTCACTAACTATTTGGAGTATCGAGAATTAAAAACAAAAACATTTTTAATTAATCGGAAAAAATACTATGGTAGGAACCCATTATAAAGATATTTTGTATGATCTATGCATAATTTCAAATGTTAACTTGTCATAATTCTGTTTTTAATATTATAATATTTACTTGCACTGTACTTAATTACTTTAGTTAACTTTACACAAAATACATTTTGTATTTTATGTTACAAATGTAGAAATTATACCTAAACACTAATCAAAATAACGTTGGATGGCAATTAACAATTGATACAATTAGAGAAATGGTACCTGTGTACTGTTTTTTTCTTTATGTAATGTAAATAAAATGAAGTAGTTTCTTATTGAAAAGTAAAGTAATTTTATTGCCATTATTGTATTCAATAAACGAGTAGAGTAAGTAGTAACTTACCCAACAATGCCATTAGTCATTATAATATTATAAAATGTTGAAATATTTAGATTTTCTATAATATCATAAATGTTAAATGTATTTAGAATTCAGATGTCTATTTAGATGTGATGTTTGTTTAAGTTCAGTTCAGCTGTAGAAATATATTTTGGAAAGCCAAATTTATATAAATTTTAAGTGTTCGTATAATATATATCATCCAAGACAAGAGGGCACAACCACATTGCTCCACCCCCTTTAGACAAACTCGATATCAGTCAATAATATAAAAATAAATTGGTGCAAGGGAGATAATACTGGACAAATTGTGTCATATCTAATAATAAATTACCTTAACATCTTAATATTTAAATATCAGGATCAGATTTTATATTTTAATTGAATCATTTGAAAAAAAATATACAGATAATGGTTATTTATGTTTCACAATTTTTCATTACTTTATTAAGGTGTTTTGAATAAGACAAAATAATTTTCGATCTTAAATTTTGTTGAAAGCTGCAATGTCAACACTTTGTATCTAAAAATAAAATAAAAAATTGTTCAGAAATAGAAATAATACATAATGCTACTGTTACATTATAACTAAATAAGTGGTGTTATTAACTCTAAATGTTGAAATGACCAAACCTGATCCAAACATTATTTCATCTAAATCAGAATTAAAATGTTTTATTTGAACTACTTATTTCCTTACTTATTTAAACTAATCTGAACTACTAAAATGTTATATTTAACCAGAATAGAATTTAATAAAAATTCAAATTTAATTGACTTTAAAATTAATATTTAATTTTTCAAATAATTAATGATTAATTAAGACGTTGAGTACCCTGGTCGACAAATATGAATATTTAATATTAATAATTTAATATTTAATTGTTGAAACAATTGTGATATTGCTTCCATGATCAACAAATTATGTAGGAATCTTTACAGCATAATAGTTTACTCGAGTATCAAATCAACGCTTCAATTTTTCTATATGATTACTAATTTGTTAGATTTTTTAGTGGTTTTGTGAATTGTGAGGGAGCTCAACGTCAACACTCATGGCTACACGGACAATATGCATCAAACACTAAAAAGTACTCAACGTGATAACTAATAAGACAAAAATGATATCAAAACAAATATTTTACCATCATTCTTGAATTAACAAATTTTGAATTTTGAATTCATCAGTTTGAGTATGGAACTATATTGTTATATGTAATTGGTTCTGATGTTTGATTTTAAGACAAAATCAAATACCCAAAATTAATTTCAATTCATAATCAAAGAGTTCATAACACCACTAATAATAACTTGAGTATACAATATGATGTGGAATAAGATCCATTTTTACTAAATCATAATTTATATTACACAAGACTTTTAGCATATTACGTACAAAATCTTCAATTTCTTGTAATGTCTCTTGTAGCCAATCAATTGATACTTTTTCATCTTCAACAACACAACTAATCTGAAGCTTATGTATCCCATAAGCTAATGGAACCAATTTAGCTGAAATAATAAATTGAATTATGTAAAACACGTTTTTGGAGTTTCAGATAGTGTACACAAAATTTAAATTGTTGTAGGTATTCATTCAAATTATAATACATTAAGTAACTTAAACAATATTTTATGCATTACTTTTTAGAATTTAAACATACATTAATCATAATTTACATAATATAAAAAAGTATGTTTACATTTATTAACAAATTCACATATTCCAATATACATGTTTAAGTACTTTCCATAGGTAAAATATAGTAAAAAGATTTATTAATTAAAATTATTTACTAATTTGTTTCTATTACTTTTTTGTTAGAAACGGTCAGACATTAATGTTGAAACTTTGAACATCGATAATCAGTTTTTTCAATTAAAAATAAAACTAAAGAAATATACTTTATTGATTACACCCGAGGTTCTCAAACTATGGGTCGCGAGATGTAGGTATTATAAATCTCAAAAATGATTGACTGGTTTTAAAATGATTACTTATAATAATTAGTCATGTATTTTGTAATTATTAAAGATGGGTATTTATGGTAATTTTATGAAATTTTTAAGACCCTCGATCCGTATGTCAAAAGAAAAGGTCCTGAACTTCGGGGAAAATAGTCAACTTCATAAAAACAAGAACATTACAATCATGATTATTTGAAAAGTTGTCAAGGAGATGGGAGTCCTCATAAATCACTTATTTTCTACACGGAAGTATTTATTTTGAGCTTAATTATTTAAGAGACATATTTTTGAAACTTAATGAACTAAATTTATATTTGCAAGGAACAGAAGGAATTGATACATTTTTGATGTATGGCAAAATAAGTTTTTATAATAAAACTTAGTTTATGACAAAAAAAAACATTGGAAATCAAATTTAATTTTTAGAACTCATTTTGAATCTTGTAAATAAACCATGTGGGTCGCAATACATTTTTGGGAATGCATTTAAATCAGTCTTAAAATGATTGAGAACCACTTGTTTATACCAAACTCTTAACATACAATTCAAAATATTTCTTAAAACTATTTGTGGATAATTAAAATGGAGAATAATAAAATAAAATAGGAATGAATTATTTCTGAAGATAAGATAATTCTTAGAAATTATGATTGATAAAAATGTATGTAAAAAATATAAATATATTTAACTTACATGCTCCCCATAGTAAACCATCAGTAGCAACTTGACGCACTGCCTTTTCTAATTCCTTCATATCAGTTTCATCGTCCCATGGCTTAACATCCAATATAATGTTTGACTTGGCAATAAGAGTTGGCTCTTCACATTTTTAAAAATATAATATTAGAAATATAGGTTTAATATTAATAAATATGCTTACTTTTAGACTTTCGAGCAGAATACTCAGCTACCCTCTGGGCCTTAAGTTTGGCTGCCTCTTCAGTTTCTTCCTAAAAATGATATTAATACTATATTAATACTATATTTAAACCACAAAATAGATATTAAAATCATAAATTTAGATTTTCAAGATCAACATGACCAGGATTAATCCTAACTCTAAATATTAACACCATACTATTATCTCCAGAAGAAGGGGGGGGGGGTCAATGTAGCCAATTTGTTTTACAAGTACCATATCTATCTGTCAGTGAATTTCAAAAGCTTTATGAAGTAAGTAATATTATTGCATTTGAAATAATTCTTGAAAACATAAACAATTATAACTTATATCAAATAATACAAAATAAAAGAATCTTAAAACTATGTCGTTATGAAACCAAAACTTTTTTTTTTAATTTTGAAATTAGACCAAACAATACATTCCTGACAGTTTTATTTTATACCACACATTTAAAACTGTTTAATATTTACTTAGATAAGAAAGAACCTAAAATTAATTGATATATAATATCAATAAATAAATCCTTAAAATAATTTTGATTGATTAATGTTAAATATTTACTTCAGATTCTGATCCAAACAAATCAACATCATCGTCCTCATCATTTTTTGTAGGTGTTTCTTTTTCTTCTGGTTTAGAAGGAGACTGTGCTGCGTTTTTGATTTCTAATGATTTAACACGATCTTCTAACTGTGCCAAACGACTTTGTAGTTGTTCAATATCTTAGTACGAAAACAAAATTAAAATCAATAATATAAATCTCATAAAATATAATCATATTACAATATACCTTGATTCGATGGACTTGAATTACTTGATGAACTCTACAACATAAATCAGATATGATGAAATATTGGTATGAATAGTAAAAACAATATTATAGTAGGCGAGACAATATTAATCATGATTGTACCGTAGAATTTAAAAAAAGTATGAACATTGAAAAATGTAAAATTTCCTAGATATTTTGTATACTAAATATATATCAATATATGACTGTCTCAAAAACTTTATTTAATTTGGCTATACTTATGGGTTTTAAATTATAATAAGTTGAATTTAAAACAACATTACTAAGCAAGACTGGAAATCCTAGATTGTAGGTTTCTAAACACAAATTTAGAATGCTTTAAAACCTTATTGTGTCTATTCAAACGCTAGCTGCAAATTTTTTGTATTAAGATTTTTAATTACAATTATTAACATTAATATAATGACCTGTTGTATTAGTATTTAATACAGGTTTACCTATATTTTATACTATCCAAAAAATTAAGGTGACTAAATTATTTTTAAATTGTATTTGAAATTATAGTTCATTGCTTTGTATTGAAATAAGTTTGGAAACTGGAAATTTAGCAAACTTGCAGAGTGATTTTCCCTAGATTGTTTTTATTTTAATCTTATCATAATCTGGTTTTATGCATTTAGGGGATTATGTTTTACCAAATTTATCAAGCAATTTTATTTGAAATTCTCCAATAAGTAAATGGAAATTATTTTTAGTTATTTTTAATTATATTTAACTTAAATACTTACAGTTGAAGATTTTCCCTCCAACACACTAACACGGATTTCCAACTTTTGAAAAGCATTTTTCAAATCATTGATAGCTGTAATATTCAAAATTATTAATACTAATTAAAAATATACATACATTTATACCAAGTACAACAAAAATAAATTACCATTGATTGTATTGGAAGATTCAGTATCCCTTGAATAAATTACAGATGATTCACATTCGTCAATCTAAAAAAATATTAATAATAATAATAATAATTTATACATAAATCAATAATTATTTTATTTTTTAATTTAACGATTCAATTGATAAGCCATATAAGATTGATTGTGAGAGATTTCATCCAATGATATTTGTCTCAACATTCTTTAGACAAAATTTATTACAATATAATATACAAATAAATCCTTAACAAAATTTCAAATATTAATTTAATTCAGACTTAAAAAAATATTTTTAATTACTATTACAGTAATTTGAATAAGTCAATTTTTTTTAAATGTGTGCTTATTTGTATCAACTAAATGTTAAGTTAATTACACAACTTAATCGTCAAGTTATAATAGTTTATACTAAAAAGCTCCAATAAAAAAATTGAAAAATTATACATTTCACTTTATTATTATTATAAATATTTTTTAATAACATGACATCATATACTTCAGTACAAGTGACATTTTAACCCTAAATAGAACTAATATTTGTACAAAGAAAATTGTTATGGATTAAAAATTATGTTATTAAACATTTTTGTGATACTTAAAAATATTCAGAAACAAAAATTTAAACAAAATCTCTCCCAAAATCTAAGTTAAAATCTTACACTCAATAATATAATATGGATATTATATATATATTCTAAAATGTTAGTTTAGCCATATGTATGAAAAGCTTATATATTTTTAACGAGCTTGTCTTACACTTAGAACTTTCTCGCGCAAAATTTGACGAGCCTTTTCAATTTCAGCTAACAGCACTTTCTTGCCAGGGGCACAACTGGTATTCTATTAAAATAAAACCAATATTCTACTACATATAAAATAATTAAATTAGCATTAAATTATTGTAAAGTAGAAGGTACTTATAATATTCTACATATATTTATGTTTTAACTATAAATATGAACTACTAATTCTACTCTTGTCACAGAAAATGCATACAAAAAAAAGTAAAACAATAAAATTAAACAGATAAACTTTAATTTAAGTATTATGGTAAATATTTAATATTTTAAAATATTACAATTAAACTGCAAATATTTAAAGACTCAAAAATAATAGTAACAGAAAGATTTTATGTTTTATAATGCTAATAGAATTTGTATTTATATTTACTATTAATTCAACAAGACAAACTCGATACAACTTAACATATTGTACACTTGATATTTGAAGATTTTTTATCAAGAATATTGCTATTATTATGTTAGTGATTAGTTCTTATAATTAATATGGGTATTAGATTAGTAGATGTAAGTATTTAACTATTATTTAAAGAAAATTTTTAAACAGGTACTCTTTTTTTTTAATCAACAAGTTAACCTAAACTAAATATAATTATTATACAACCTTTTAAAACGACTATATTCTTTAAAACAAATATTAAAAATATTCATTTAAGTCACTATCAAATCATCTCTATAATTTCATTCATTAGAAAATCCTAACTGTATGAAATGTTGTGTTGTATGTTAAATTTTTTACAATTTAAACATTTATTACTTGATAGATTCAATATAGAACAAGGAATTTAAACTTTAATAAGACTTTCAGACTTTGTTTGAAAGCTAAAGAAACTATACCAACCAAAAAGACAAAATCATTTTTGTTTCTGGGAAATTAATTTTTCTCTGAATCACATAAAATATTTTTCTAGTACACCAAAATTAAAAGTGTTGGTATACTGATTCCTGCTTCTAGGGAATATACTGTCTTCGTACATAAAAATAATTAAAGAAAACAACCCATAGCAATAAAGTATTTTTAAGAACCAATGTTATTTAATAATTTAATATGTGCAACAGAATTATTATAAAATTAAATGTTATATATTAATGGATGTTTTTATTTATAGTTATATTAACAATGTTATAAACCCACTCAGAATAGTCATTACAAATACTAAGTAACATGTATTTTTTTAAATAAAAAATCTTGAAAAATAAAAATAGTCTCGGTAGAGATCAGAATATTCAGAATTATATACACTAAAAAGGTAATTATAAGATGCAAACAAGCCAAATTAAAATTACAAAATATGTACAAAAATGTTCTAAGTATGAACTTAGGCATAAACATTAAAAATGTGTACCAAATTAAATTTTAGATGTTAAATCTATGTAACATGTATTCATTATGAATCAAATTATATGTACCACTTACGATAAAATATGCCTAAAACCTTAGATTATACATCCACGTGTAAATTAAAATTTGGACTAGGAAATAAGTTTAAATTGAATCAATCACATTTGAAAGTCTTTCTACATTCTATATACTATACAGAGTAATAGTTTGTGTTTTATAATATGTATTTCAATAATGGGGTGTTAAATTTAAAAAAAATTATTAATTTATAACAATTGTTTATATTTTGAACAAAAAAATTCCAAATAGGAATCTGATGGGTGTGTTGTTCACAAAAATCTATGTAATGGATCACTTAATAGTGACAAAGAAATAACTATTATTAAATTTGGAGCTCATAATCATGCAGATAATACTGACTTTAATTAACACAGAGAAAGCAGAATGAGTTAAGAAGAACACAACAAAAAAAAATTACAATCTACTGTCTTGAAATTGTTAATAAATTAATTGATAATAGCAAAAATGTGATCAAAATTAAAGACATTACAGGCTGTGCAGTGTAACCAGATGCCAGGCGCCCTATTATGTATGTTGATTAATGAGATCTCAAATATACACACAGTGATTTTAAAACATGCACTTACTGATATTGTTGTAGCACCACTGCCACCACTAGTTTTTTCCACCTTATTCTAAAAGTTAATTGTAATAAAAGAATTAATTAAGTCTTAACACATATAATTGTTGAGCTAGATTTGAAATAAAAGCTATAAAAATAGTCTTAACACATAAATATTTATTTATAAAATAATGCAATGATGTATTGAATATGGCTCTATAGAAAAATATTTATATTTATATGACAACAGTATATAGATTTATGTTTTAAAGCAGCCAATTCAACATCAATGTTCTAATAGTAGAACAGCATCATTTAAAGATACAATCATCAAGCTTTTTATCTGCAGTATCTTTCGGTGTAGAGTCTATACCTAGTATAGACTATTGTAATACCCAACAGTAACCAAACATTATCCACAGGTAAAATATTGATGAAAAATAAAGTATGTAAAAGCAACATCCCAATATTAATGAAATATAACAAAAAAATTGATATATTTAAAGCGACTGAGTATAATAGACAGTTATACTTATAACAGATAATTAGATGTGTTATATAAATCAGAATAATAAAAATATCAGTTACCTTTGATTGTTTTTCATAATACACACGTTCTGCATCAGCATACTTTGATTTGTCGAGCCACACTTTTTCTTGAGCTAAAATTTCCAACGACATTTTATCTAAAAAAAAATAGTTAAGTATATTATAAGAAACATAACAAGTAAATACAAGCAATACAAGTAAATATTTTGGTATTTTATCGTGATGTGAATGAGTATTTCTATAAAAAGAAGTTATCTTTTTCTTTTATAGAAACTTCAATATCAGTTGATGCCTGCAGTATTTTTGGGGCCACTTCCTAATTTAGGCCCTCTCCTCACATGACAAGTGAATAAATTATTATGAATGTAGGTATAGGTATTATATACAATCTATATTAATATAAAATAATCATAATTTAAAATAAAAATTAAAAATGGATAATGACAGATGACTATTACTTAAATTATTGTTTATTATTGAATCTAAATAAATAATTGAAGCCATTTATTATTTTGTATGCCGTAAAATTGGTTTGGGCCACTTTAGGTCATGGTAATTCTCCAATTATGAACAATGTTATGTACCCGCAAATGTAAAATGTTGTAAGTTACATTATGTATTAACAAGGAACAATTGTATTATCAACAAGATGTTGTACACGTCTTGTACCATATATTATTCTTAGTCTGACTAACACATAACATAGCAAACTGTATGTTCAAAAACATTAATTTTACTCAATAATATTTAGTTAAGAGTCAAAACTAAATTTATTTGTTATACAATTTAAGTATGAGAATAATATTCAGTGCCTTACATAGTTTGTATGATCATTTCCATTTTGAAACAAGTCATAACCATTTTTAAATTGTTGATACCTATGTTATACATTAGTATGAGTTAATACATGAAGGTAAGACATCATAACAATGTCCTCTTTATCACGTATTTAAAAAAAAATGAGCACTTTATTTAGGAACTATTCACAATAGCTTTACATTTAGGGGCTCGATTACTAAATGCCGGAAGGTGCCTAGAAACTAGGGACCCATCCCCTTTCCCCTGACCACGCGACGACCTTCTTTTATCTAATTATTAAATTTTCTACTTACTTTTAGGGATTGGCTTAAAATTGAGATGGGGAAACTGAAAAAGTGAAGAACACTCGGCACTCAGCTTAAATAAAATAAAAAAAACTGAAAAAAGGCCTAAGACGACACGTTTTTGAAACTAGAGAATTTAAAAAGAATGAATCTAGAAACGTCAATAACTGAAATGAATTTCTTATCAAAAATAAAGAACAAAAACTGTTACTAAGTTCAGTGCATCAAGATGCTGTGGCGACAACCAACGGATCTAGGGACTGTTCACCAAAAATATTTGGATCAGTGTATAAAATTGCCTATAATAGCCCCTTTTCTGCCGGTGAAGCCCGAAAGCGCAAATCGACCTTTTTTTTTCGATAACTCAAAAGCGCAAAATGAATTTGTGCTTTTGTACTTTGGTAGTGGGATAAAAGCGCAAAAATAAATTGTATAACCCGATACAATATTTTACTGACCTAACGCTTGACGCTCTACGCTTTGAATGTATACAACCCGTTTCACGACATAGTGCAGCAACGCATCGCGACAGTCGTATCCCGATACAAAAACTTGGACCATGTATAATGAAAAAAAAATTTCCAGATTAGAATATTTGAAGACAGTGGGCTTCAAATTTCAAATTTAATTTTAAAATAATATAGGTATTCAAAATAATACTCAACATTATATTTTTTATTTTTATTTTTTACTATTTTTACTTAATTTTTTTATTACCAATTTTAATATCACTGTGACACTGTAAATGCTTAATTTAATATTAATAATAACTACGATTTTAATTAAATACACTTTTTTTATAAAATTGATTTGCGCTTATGGGTTATTAAAAAGGTATTTTTTTTTGAGCTCACGGGTTATTTATTTTTGCGCTTTTGGGTTGCGTTTGGGTCATATTTTGCGCTTATGGGCTACACCCCTTTTCTGCTTTTTATAGAATAGGTACCTATAGGCTATAAATATAGTAGAATGTAGAAATACTGCTTTCTAGTTTCTACTAGGTAATAGATATATTACAATAGTAATTGGAAAATAATCCCCAATATATCATCACAGTATAAGGCTACAGCTTAAAAAATATATAAAAATAATAATATGTAATAATAATATTTTATATAGGTAGGTAGGTACTGTCTAGGTAGGTACCTATATGAAAAAGTTAGCACTTGCTTACGGGTGTTGACATGTTGTTGGAATAAATAATAAATAATTTAAATTATAATAAAAAAATAAATAGATAACTATATTGATAATAGTCACTGTGTAGTGATAAAAAAAGGTGTGATGGTGGGAACTGGGAATTTTTTTGTAAAAAAATTCATAGTATAACAACCAACAATACTTAGGGCTTAATTATTTCCAATTTATTTGAAAAATGATAGGTACTTAAGTTAAAATCATGTTTCTGTGTAAGGTCCATAACTTACCGAAGCATAAAATAATTAATTCAAATTTACATTACAACTAGTTCATATTGAAAACGTGGTTATGAGATTAAGATCTGTTATTTGAAAAATTTTGAAATTAAATAAATTCTTACCTACCAACTGAAACTTTGTATATTGTATATAACGCACTCTACATGTCGATTTTCCAATACGGTGTATTAGTATTTAGAGTGTGGTGGATGTTCTGATACTGCTATAAAACCACTTGAAATTCAACAAAATCATCATGCAGTAAGAATATGTCTAGAAATGTTAGTTACACAAAAAAGAATATAGGAAATAAGTTCGTATAAGAATAATTATGAATTTAAGAAAAAAAAAGGGTTGCCAACTGGTTGTTACTTAAAATTTAATTGTATACCTTTTAGGAAATAAGGATCTTAAATGTTATACATAATGTTAACATATTACATAGGTTTTTATTGTATTCCAACAACTCATTTAACTCGCCACAAGCTCTGCTTAATGGGGTATATTAAAAAATAAAACTTTGTATCACTATTATTGGTATTGTCCGAGTTGCGGTCACAATAGACGAATTGGCAATTGCGGTCTTAATAATATTGAAGGTAAAATTAACGTCTTAATTACGGTCAGTATCCGGTTAACGATTAATGGTTACAATACGTTTTGGGATTGACTTTTCTCCCTCCATATGAAGTGGGAAATGTGTTTTTAGATGTAATCGCCGAACAACCTATAGATTCAAGAGTTACTGAATTTAGTGACTATTTAGTCGATAATTATATTGGGAATGATGCTACTTTTCCAACCACACTCTGGGCAGCTTTGAACAATGATGTTTGGAGAACGAATAATGGAAGTGAAGCGTTCAATTCTAAATTCAAAACTGAGAACCGATCGCCACATCCCAACATATTTGAATTTTTGAAATGTGTCAAAAATATTCAGATTGATAAATATTCAAAAATCAATTCAATAGATTTGGAAACTAATAAAAAAAGCGAGATCATAAATCAGAAATTTACTAAAAATAAAATACAACAGTATTTGAAAAAACAAATTGACTCGCTGACATTATTGTGAAATGTGTATCATACAAATATGAACCGGTTTAATATTACAAATGTAAATATATAAATATTTTAAAACCTAATAATTATTAATCATATTTTTTTACCGTAATTAGGATTTTTACCTATTTTGATATTTTACCTGTTTTGATCCCGACCGCAACTCGGATTTTTTTTTTTACCTGTTATAATCTCGACCGCAACTCGATATCAACCCTATTATTTATTCAATAAATAAAAAAACTACAGCTAGTGCATAATAAGGATTAACACGAACCACTAATCGTTATCATGAGTCAAGATAGACTTATCGGACATATAAATTGCCCACAGTCCATAAGGAAATAGATATAGGTAGGTAGGTAGTGAAAAGTAATAAGTGTCCACTGTCCACAGTAATTACATATCAATTATTATTGTATAATTACAGTGAATCTCCCATATAACGAACTTCGAATTTACAAAATGCTAATTAATTTTGAAAACCAAACCAAATCAGTGACAAAATTACTAGACATTTTAAGAAATTCTCTGTAATACAAACTTTTTTTGGTGTTTATGAACCATGAAACTTCATGGAAGTTTCAGTACACATAATATTAAAATAAGATTTTTTTGTGTATTTACATTTTTAAATTTTTTTTCTGCTTTTTTCTAAAATACTTTTGCCCGAGGGTGTCAACGTTCTCATTTCACTTTTTTTTATCCAAAAAATTACATATCTCTCCCCCCCTCCAGAACAAAATCATACGTATCACACTGCGTGTCTATGGCTAAGCACCTAAGTATCATATATTATGATATAAAGCTATTCAGAATTCAAAAAATATTAATGACTGCAGTCTACACTTCTTCAGATTTAATGAAATACCTACTAAAAATAGGTACCTACCTATTGAAAAAACTAAAATAATTTAATTTTAGTTCAATTTTTTTACAAACTGATGGACTATGAAATTTAAGATGAAAACTAGTATGAAATTATAATAATATGTGTACCATATATTTTGATAAATTACATTAAAAACTATAAATTACTCTTTACGTGATATACAAATTTAATTTGTATAAATTTCCCACTTCTGACTTGGAAACAGTTGTCTAAATATAATAGATACACAATCGTAACATATAAATTATAAATGTTGATTTTGTATCTACCTACTCAGTAGTTATAAAACATTATGTAGGTAATATTTATTCAACATTAAAAAATAACCATTTTCTATGGATTTTTAAGGATCTAAAAATCGATTTATTTATATCCAAAATATAAATATTTTTAAAAGTTATTAATTCCGAATACATTATATTGATTGTAGAAATAAAAGGATTAGATGTTTTTGTTCGTTAATACAAATACATGATGACGTTCATTTCGATGGTTTGAGTATGATAATTTATCATAGAAAAGAGAAGGTTAGGCACAACAAACATGAAGGACCGGAGAATACATCAATTATTGAATGGGTTGCTGATCCTTATGTTGTTTATAATTGTTATTTACAGTATATTTACAGCATATTGTCCAGTTAAGAATGGATATTATTCAAAAAAATCATTCAAATATGAAAAGAAAATTAAAACCCAAACAAATGATGATGAACAGGTAGGATATAAAGCATAATAATAACTATTAATTAATAAGTATTAGGTAGGTATACCTACCTACAAACTTAATAAAATAATAACAAATTTGAAGTAGTAATAATTAATAAACATGAAATATTAAATATGATATAATATTAAATTAAAATTTGTTTTTTAATACACCGTCTTCAAAGTTCCATATTTTTTTTTTTTCATTTATTTATTTAATTTATGTGTCAGCACGAGCATGCTAAAATTCACAAGTTAAATAGGTATATAATTATATAATAAAGGTTTTACATGATGAGAAATTATAAACAATAAACGAGATTACGGTTACGGATATTACAAAGCAAAATAGCAAGGGAATTAAATAAGATAATTTTAATGAGGTTTGTGGATAAAAAATGTAATATTGGAGATAAAGACTGTAACATAAATTTTTGTGAGTTTGTTTTAAAATTACGGTTTTAAAATAAGCGGCTGTTATGATGGCGTATGATTGACCGGACGCATGGGTGACTTGGATACATGGTGACGCGTGAGGATGTGTTGTGTTTGGATAATTACCTTTTTTGGTTTGTTTCTGGGTTCAATTAGTTTTTTGTAAATGATACAACTTTTGTATAATGCTGTATTCGCAACAGAGTATAAACATTCAGCCAGGGGGTCTGAAATATCGGTTATGATTGTAGTCGTGAAGATTTTTGATTACTATAATTTGTATTGGTGTTTGCAGTTCGGCTGAAAGGATTTTTCCATCAGTTTCGTTTAAGTAATCAATAATCATAAGGGTGGTTATACGGTTTTTAGGCCTGCCTATAAGAAACGGCGGTGTGGTCTTAAATGAAATATTGTATTATTGTTAATACCTGTGAGTGATATTATTTTCTTTTTGAATATTGAGAAATCTATAACGTCCTTTATATATTCCGTCCCGGTATTCGAGTGGGTTTAGGTGTGACTTCAGTTTGAGGCAATTGTTCACAATCAACTAAGTTATTATTTTTTAGAAATACCTCGGTTTCGATCTCGACGTCTGTCTTGGCCAGTGTATCGATTTGCTGTCTTAAAATATGTCGTGATTTTTTTTTTTTTGAGAAACGCTAGAGGGCCAGGGCAAATGCCGTTTTGATTTTTTTGTTTGTGGTGTTTATTTGATGGACTCAAAGTAATTATTGGAACAGATGACGGAGGGGACATCATATTCATGGCGATCGTTAAGGCCAGAATTATATAATTTTAATAGATATAACCATATAGGTAACCAATAATGATACAAATGTGTGAAACATCGCAATCTATAAGACATAATATTGCCCATATAAGTATATTTTGTTTGAAAAGAATAATATTAATATATATATTTTCTATTGATCAACCTTTGTTTTTGAAATTGCAGATTGTGGAAACTTTTAAGTCACCAATTCTAAGCAAAAACCCCAATCGTATAATAAAACGGAACATGTTTGCGAATTTACCGTGGTATTTCAAAGGTTGACACTCATTATAATATTTAATAAATTATAACAATTAATACACACAAAAAGTCTTACAGGTATACCTGACCATTCTATGCTGTGTTATAAATAACGTTGATAGAATAAATAATTTATTATCATATAATGCAAAAATATTATAAGATAATAATTTTAACTATTTTTAATATTAATTGTTATGATTGATCTAATTATTTAATCAAACAAAATAAGATTCAATGACAAATATTTCGTATTATCTTAAAACTAAATTTTATTTACATAAATAAACAAATTGATTTTGTTAGATGGGGCTCTAGTGCCTAATAAAGCGGATGTGGACCCTACGACTGGAGTTAGAATTCCAAGGTTATGGCCTGAAGAAAAAAAAGGCAGCGACCGTGTAGAAGAACAACTAATGTTTATACCACCCAATTATCAATATGAAAATGCGCCTATGAAAAATATTTTACTATACAACGGTGTAAGTAATTGGATGGTAGATACGGGACAAAGTGAATTTCTTTCAAATGATTGTCCAGTAAATAGATGCACAATTTCAACTAAAACGAAATTAATTTATTCGATGGATGCAGTTTTATTTAGAGAGGAATTCAATGACCCTTTATCCGAAATCGGTCGTATAAAGAATAGTAAACAAGTATAACAAAATAAATATGTTTAATTGCCTTAGTTAAATTTAAATAAATGTAAATGTTCTTAACAGATATGGATTTTATTCTTCATCCAGTCAGCACATTACTCGGGATTTGACATAGGAAATGTTAATATGATTAACTGGACAGCCACATATCGACACGACAGTGATATTGTCATACCATACGGACGATGGGCATATTTCGATCCTTCAGTGACTCGAGTTGAACAGTTAAATAAGAATTATTCTCTAAACAAAACGAAACAAGTGGCAATGATAGTTTCTAATTGTGATACTGACAACAAAAGATTATTATATGCCAAAGAATTGGGAAAATATATATCTGTTGATATATATGGTCAATGTGATGGATTGAAAATGATCAAATCTGATAACTTTTTAGAAATATTGGACCAGGATTATAAATTCTATTTGGCTTTCGAGAATTCAAACTGTATCGATTATGTTACAGAAAAGTTTTTCATAGATGGACTTCAGTAAGCTTATATAACACTCTTAATAACATTAAATAATGCATAGTGTCTATTAAACACAAAATTAATTTTTGATTTTTATATTGTAAAAATAATCGCACCATTTCTTTCATGTGTTTATTATTAACAAGATGATCAAATCACATTTTTATAAAGCTTTATCAAATTTAAAACTGAGAGCCTATAATTTTTGAAGACCCGCTCTGAGCATTAAATTACTTATAGGTAATATGAATACAATAAAAACATGAATATTGTACAATTCTTATTATGCGATTCTGAGTTATAAATTACAGCTGAAGCTTTAAAATTATGAACAATACAAAAACTGATATAGTTGTCGACAGCATTTGAAACATTGTCATGAAATATTTATCACTTAATCAGTAATAATTGTCGGTTGGCAGGTACAACGTTCTGCCGGTTGTGATGGGCGGACGCCGCTCTGACTACGAGCGGATGGCACCTAGGCGATCGTACTTGCACGTGGACGACTACGAGTCGCCCGAACGGCTGGCCAGATACCTGAGGTGGTTGGACGCCAACGACGATCTTTACAATGAGTACTTCCGGTGGAAGGGCACTGGCGAGTTTATCGACACAAAGTTCTTCTGTCGACTATGCGCGATGTTGCACGACGACGACGCGCCGGCCAAGCACTACCGGAACTTGGAACGCTGGTGGCGACCACCGGACGTGTGTGATCATTCGACGAAGTGGCTTAAGCCACCGCATGTCAAATAACGAATATTCGAGGGGGGGGGTGAAGATTAGCAGCCGCGTTCGCAGCCAGAAAGGTTTTCGCGGTCACCTCCTCACCAGTAACAAAGCCATTTTCACCGAGAACGAGTTCTGCAGAAGATACAGTCATGACGTGCAGGCGCATACCCATAGACGCAACTATAGAATCTATTTTTTTTTTGTAGGGGGAATTTGAGTGTTGAAAATTCTCCTAAACACTTCTCCTATAAGCTGGTATATTTGAAAATTTCTTGTAATAAATGTAAATTGATATCAGCATTTATGTTACATATTATAATATTTATCCAGTAAATGATTCCTTAGTAATAAGTATAAACACACTAACATTTTCCTTTAATAATGTTCTTATTTAAATTCTGATTATTTGAACCTTTAAATGTTCAGGATCATATTTTTAATTAGGTATATAAATTTAGAAGAATACATTTCTTTTTGGCTTTCTATTGTTTCTCTCGGGTCTCTCCAACTTTACGAATTACGATCATCCGCATAATAAATATTATCTTCAATTTCAGATCTTTGTTTGCTCCACCAAACAAAAATTATCTTATAAATGAACTTGGCTTAACTCGTAATAATACCATAAAAATTTAGGAGATTATTTGATTCAAAATTAATTTTTATTAAGCATGTAGATATATATGACCTGTTCACAATAGTCATTTAGGTATCAGACACTTTTAGATGTTTTTTCTATTGGAAATTATTTCAATCTTATTGTTTTTTCTTCTTTCATACTTCCAGACTCTGGGTTTAATGTAGGACCACTCGTCTATTTAATTTTGTTTTATCCTTAAAATTCTCCTTAAATATTAGAAGTTTTAATTCGTCACCGCTTGTTGCTGCGATGGTATCGCAAGCATTTGTAACAATAATAGTAGTCCTATTAATCGGCTTATAAAGCTTCGTTTCTTAGTATAGTTATAGTTGGCTCCAACCCACCATCATATAAGTAAATATAATAAATGTATAAATGGTACTTATCAGAGGCGCAACTTAAGCAGAATTGTATTTTTAGGAAAATTAGAATTATAAAGGCAGTGTTCTATTATTATTTTATACATACAAAAAGATACGTTATTAATCAAAGATATTTAATATTAACAACAGGCGCGTTATTTCAGTGGTTATTTGGTGGTGCCAAAATGTTTACAGTCCATCCAGTATAAACTATTCCCGTTCAACAATTACAAGTTAGTACAATTAGAAGATATACAGAGTGATCCAACAAGTATACTCACCCCCTTTTTTTCTTTAATAATTAAGTGTTTAAAAATCTGATTTTTGGAATCTTTAAATATATTTAAAAACTATATTTCATATTCTTGAGATTTTTTGTACCACTTAAGGAGTGTCCTGTGGCGATACAAGCTTTTGTCTTTCAAATGGGAACCTTACTTTTTTACTGTAAATTATTCGGCGGATATTTTTTTTGAGAATTTTGATGCATTGAAATCAAAATTCGAACGGGTAGTTTTCTAGTTATTACAACATTTTGTGCTAAGGATAATATAGTTTATAATAGGGAAGAAGGATATGCTTATACAGCATTCGTTGTTATCTATAGTCTATACACATAATATAAAATAATATGTAATTTTATATTTATTTAGTCAAACACTTGGGTAAATAGCAAGTACAATCCTTCTTGATTTATCGAGTCATTTTTCTTATTCCGTGTGTAGAACTGTATAATCATATTCCTATTATGGACTATTATCCTTAATACAAATTGTCCAATAACTATAGGAAACCACTCGTTCGAATTTTGATTTCGATACATCCAAATTCTCAAAAAAATTATCCGCTAAATAATTTGAAGAAAAAAAGTGGGGTTCTCACTTGAAAAACAAAGGTTCGTATAGCCACTCAGTATAGTCACTTAATCTGAAGAAAATGAAAATATGGTCTTTGAGTCTTTGGTCTTTAAATATTCCTAAAATCAGATTTTGAAAAACTTCATTATTAAAGAAAAAAGGGGTGAGCATACTTGTTGGATCACCCTGTATATATATAGGGTATAGGCTTACACAGGTTCCAATGATTCTTTAATTTTGCTTCTGAGCATTCATGCTTCTGAGCAAAGGAGACGAGTTCAGAATCTACATCTATATTATCTAAGGATAGCTTTTATACTATTATATTTATATTATTTTTTAGCATTTTCTTAGTTCAATAGATTTAACTAGTGTTCCTCAAAAACTTCATAAATCAAAAAATAGTTAATTGAATCAAAAAAGTTGTCAAACAGGGTTATGATATTTTATCAAATAATATATTATTAATTATTCATTTTTGACAAATTAAGATATAAAATGATAAAATCGTAAAAATCGTAAAATTTGAATCTATATCCAAAATAAGGAGGAAAAATTGTGTATAGGTACTACAAATAATATTGCATGGCACATGCAGTGTATTTAGTTCATTAATGATTTAACTATTTCAGTACTATACATACTCTATATAAGTATACAGACGTAGGTATTTATTATTTACTATTTACAAATATTAAATCTTTGAGTCTTTGGTCTTCAAAGATTCCAAAAATCAGATTTTAAAAAACTTCATTATTAAAGAAAAAAAGGGGGTGAGAATACTATTGTTGAATCCATAGGCGGAAATCTTGTGAAATATTAAGGGGGGCTCAAATATTTGATGACAAACAGACCCGCGGGGGCATTTCCACCACACCCCCAACAAACTAATTTTTACATTAGATCACTCATAAAAAATTGTTCTCGTTGACTCGTTATCATAACAACTTAAATAGTTACAAACATAAAAAAAAGGATAATTAATAAACGATTTAAATTTAAATATTTCAAACATATTTGAACTAAATTATTTATTAAAAATCTAAAGGTATATAAACACAATATAATATTATTGTGAATTGTGACTTAATTATTCAGTATGTTACCATAAATAATAAATTGGTAAATAGTGTGTATGTAATGTACTAGGTATACTTTTATAATTGTGGATATAAGAATATAAAATAATGAAAAAAGTTCTGCAAACTGTACAAAATTACGGTATTGTTTGTTTAATATTCTTAGGGGGTCTTTAACTTCAAATCATTTATTTTGGGGGGACTAAGCCCCCGTAAGCCCCCCTCCCGATCTCCGCCTATGGTTGAATCACTCTGTATAGCACAACAATTAGATAGGCGATTGCTGGCTAGTTATTATTCATTAAACTGATAAGTATTATATACATTTTTATAAAAAGTTTTATGCATATGAAAATATCATTACATCTACCTACATTATACAGTGTACCATACACAATAGGTACCTCCACTATACACGTGTATAAAAATCACCAGTACTTACTCGACTATTTTCAAAACAGTTGTTTAAACATCCATTGTTTCATAGTTATTTAGTTTCTATTGAAGAGTGAATAACATATTTTTCTAGTAATTCATTTTCGAAACTATAAAACTAAATTCTTAGGGTCTCGTTCTAAAAAATGTTTAAAATAGCTATTAAGACAAATAAACAATTAAATTGACCATAACGAATGTAACTCTTATTAGTCTTACTAATATTATGTCAGTGGCTATCAAACATACTTAATAGATTCATTGTAAAATAGACGATTTAAAAAAATATCATGAAAAATCGACAGTTACGTCTTCTACTGATTCTTGTATTATGTATTTCAGTTTTGTATAGTATCTATAAGGCGTATTTCTTAATTAATACAAGATATAATTTGGAGAAGTTAAAGCGACCAGACAAGTACAATGAACCGAAAGCGAATATTTCAAGCAATTTCAATCAGCAGGTAGTAGTTACAAATTCTTATTGTTTCATTTTGTTAGTATTAAGTTATAAATATCTCTTTATTTTAATAAAATAATTATATAGGTATTACAAATGTATAGTATAATAATATATCGTATTAAATTCGCGAATTTTAACAAAATGTGAACTTTAAATGTTTGTGAGTTCTGCAGAAGATACAGTCATGACGTGCAGGCGCATACTCATAAACGCAACTATAGAACCAAAGTTTTTTTTGTAGCGAGAACTTGAGTATTGAAAATTCCCCTAAACACTTCTCCTATAGTCGGGTATATTTGAAAATTTCTTGTAATAAATGTAAATTGATATAAGCATTTATGTTACATATTATAATATTTATCCAGTAAATGATTCTCTAGTAATAAGTATCCACTATTCAAATTCTGATTATTTGAATTTTTAAATGTTAAGGATTATATTTTTAATTATTTAAATTTAGAAGAATAAATTTGTTTTTGGCTTTCTATTGCTTTTCTCGGGACTCTCCAACTTCACGAATTACGATCATCCGCATACCTTCAATTCCAGATCTTTGTTTGCTCCACCAAACAAAAATTATCTTGTAAATGAACTTGGCTTAATTCATAATAATACCATCAAGATATAGGAGATTATTTGATTCAAAATTAATTTTTATTAAACATGTAGATTTTATTCGAAATAACTAATAAATTATTTATGAAATTAGCTCTTTCAAAACTAAGAGGGACAATGGACGTAGCCGTTTGAACGTGGGGACAATATTGGACGTCAAAAAAATATAATCAAAATTTTAAATCAATAAATGAAATAAATAAGTTATTTATATTTATTATAATATTTATGCGTTAAACAAAAACGAATATACAAATATTATTCATTATATAAAATATTAAAATTAAAAATTATCCAAAACAATTTTTTATTAAAATTATAGGTACACCAGTAATTAAAATACGATACCAAAAAAAGTTATTTATAATAATTATCATAATACATCCAAAATATAATATTTAAAATATCTAAGAAGTTTTTTTTTTATATTAATGAATTAAATGATTAAAATGCAATAATAATATTGATAAGGTTCGATATTATACGGTACCATTAGCTATATTATGAACATATAATATCAATGGTCTTATAATTTATAAGCATAAAATAGAACAATTTTTTTTCATTTTTTTAAAATATATTTTGATTATGATCTATTAAAATAATATTATATTTATTTAATTTATATATTTTTTTTTACGTCCAACGGCCACGTCCAAACGGTTACGTCCATTTGTCCTAGATCGCTTTTAAAACGAATATGTAAAGATTTCTACGATAATGCAGCGTTAAAAATATTATATTCTTCATTAGTTGGATCCCAAGCTATAATTGGCAAGTTAATGTTAGTTGAGATGTCAAATATTGCTTAAATATTATATGGCATGAATGAAAGATGAAATAATAGATTTTTTTTAATTAAAAAAAACAATAATACAATTTTAAACGGCATAATAAAGTTATATACGTATTCAGTAGGTACACCAAGCCCAGTTCTGTATCTAATTAAAATTGTAATTATAGAATAAACTAATATTCTATTAAATATATGTTTTATAGGCCTGCCAACATTTTAATGTCCGCAGGTAGTACTGTAATAAATTTTGATTTTTTCTCACTTGAAAAGTTATATTGTTATAAATAATACTTACTACATTTATTACTATTAGTTTAATTGCATATTCTTCTTTTTTTTCTCTTCTCCTTTGTTATTATTGTTATTTGTTAATTAATTATATATTTTGACTTCAATATTTATATGTGTTTAAATGTTTTTATATTTACATATTTTCAAAACAGTTGTTTAAACATCCATTGTTTCATAGTTATTTAGTTTCTATTGAAGAGTGAATAACATATTTTTCTAGTAATTCATTTTCGAAACTATAAAACTAAATTCTTAGGGTCTCGTTCTAAAAAATGTTTAAAATAACCTATAATAATTATTAGCTATTAAGACAAATAAACAATTAAATTGACCATAACGAATGTAACTCTTATTAGTCTTATTAATATTATGTCAGTAGCTATCCGCTATCAAACATACTTAATAGATTCATTGTAAAATAGACGATTTAAAAAAAATATCATGAAAAATCGACAGTTACGTCTTCTACTGATTCTTGTATTATGTATTTCAGTTTTGTATAGTATCTATACGGCGTATTTCTTAATTAATACAAGATATAATTTAGAGAAGTTAAAGCGACCAGACACGTACAATGAACCGAAAGCGAATATTTCAAGCAATTTCAATCAGCAGGTAGTAGTTATAAATTCTTATTGTTTCATATTGTTAATAAATATTTCTTTATTTTAATAAAATAATTATATAGGTATTACAAATCTATAGTATAATACTATATCGTATAAAAATTTTGTCTAAATGCGAACTTCCAATGCTTGTGTAAAAAATGTATGCCTATATGGTCCTTTAATATTTTTTAATATATTTTTTAAAAATCATGCTATATGTACAGAATATACTATACAGTACCTATATAGTTTATACTATGAAAAACATTTAGTGAAAATTGCAGGTATCCACGGTTATTTGTTTTAGAATAATAACAATATCAAAATATAGTTTGAGGAAAAATAGTTACTTAATTTACGGGTGAAAAATCGATCTTCAACTGCTAATTTATAACTATTGCGGATTTATGTTAAACTTTTTTTTGCATTCCAATAATAAAAACTTTTGAGGAATTTTGTATTAAATTTTCAAGCTTTTTACAGGGCAAAAAAATTAACTCAAAAATAATCAACACTTCTGAAAATGTTATCATATATGGAAAATGCTATTATAAAAATTTTAATAAATGTTATTTTTCTATATTCGTTTTTGAAACAGTATACAAAATAAAAAACAATTTGCTTTAAAAAATATAACGCTTACAATGTTAGTCTCATAAAAGTAGTGTGTGAAAAAAAGTGTGTGAAGTTCATAAATATTTTTTTAGAAAAATTAATGTTTAATAATCAAACAAGAAATTGATTAATTGATCTATCAGAGGCGATTCCAGTACAAGATGGTCATATAAACACATACCTAAAGTAGAATAGAATATTTAAAAAAAAAACAGTGTGGCAATTTGAGAAATCTTATAAAAAAATTAACAGGAATGAATTTAAGTGTGAAGTGACAAAAAATAAAAATATTTTTATTTTTGTAAAATATTATTATGAAAATTTAAAAAATGCCGTTAAACGTATCGCGCTACTATAGAATAATTATAACTAGGGGTTAGGATTTGTATGCAATAAAAAATTGTAAAATATGCATTTTATTTACCAAAATATGCAAAAATATGAATTTAAATTTGTATATGATAAACACAATAATATAGTTACAATAAAAATATTTATTTGTTGGAATACATCAGTCAGTGATTGGCTGTCTGTCTTAACATAATATTCATATAACTGAGAAATAAATAAAATAAAATAATCTAGAAATAAAATTTATTATCCACATTCACCACTTGTGTTACATGCTACGACCACATATTTATAATTTACATTATAAATCCTAGCCCTGATTATAACTTAACTATTAAATAATGAATATTGCTATGACACTTAGCATTTTTCCTCATGATAAAACTAATTAATTTAATGTTTATAGGTATCACAATCTAAACAATCCAAAATATATATTTTTTCAGTTTTTAATCATTGATATTAAATGAATTTAAATTTTTAAATGTGAAATTACATGTAATAATCGAAATTTTAAACAGGGCCATCCATATTTATCGGAGCCAATTATAACCGTAACACCTCATTATAACAACAAAGAAATGAAATGGAATGAAATCGCAAACCCACCTCTACCATGGTATTTCAAGGGTAATAATAATTCATAACAATTTTACTGTGCAAATATTAATATTATCTATAAGTGAGCCTTTTATTGCTGCAAGTCGCAAGTGTTGTATTATTTTTATAAGTACCTACTATAGATAATATATATTTGGTATTGAATAATTATTATAAAAAATTATTCTATTTTCGCTGCTAGTATATAAACTGTACAAAAAATTATTAAAAATTCCAAAATATTACGATGTATCATGTACACCTAATTGTTTTTCTCAGATGGTACAATAAAACCGACCAAAGCTCGATTATTCCCATCAAGGCCTGGGTTAAAACTTTCCCAAGTGTGGCCTGAGGAACAAAATATAAACGATGATCGAGTGGAAGAACAATTAATGTTTGTGCCACCACATTACGATCATAACAATGCGCCAATCAAGTCAATTTTATTATACAACAATGTTAATGAATGGATGGTTGATAGCGGACAAAACGAATTCATTTCAAAAGATTGTCCAGTAAATAGATGTGCAATTACTACAAACAAATCAAAAAGCTCAAACATAGATTCAATTTTATTCCGAAATGAATTCTCACATCCCGGTCACAAAAAGACCAATAAACAGGTACGATCGAACATTTAAACAGTGTTACAATTAAGAGTTAGGACTATTAAAGTGCAGAGACAGATATTATACAAACATACAATTAATAAATCAAGACAGTGGGCGTAAGCTATGAATTGTACCTATTTGGTAGAGCGTCAACATGTTCGTTCTCTGTCACTCACACAATAATAAATTGCGATTTGCGACACTGGCGTACTGGTTGTGACTATAGATAACAACTAATTATTAAGAATTTTGAATTTCAATAAAGTACGTTTATATACAAAACGAAATTTAAGATTCTGAGTGGAACATCTGAATGTATTGATTTTACAATGATGTGTGTGTTGTTTTTGTATATGTCTTCGCTTTAGGAGTAGTAAAAATGCTTAGATTTTTAACTTCAGCATCTTTTCTGGTAGGAAATAAAATAAATAAATTGATATATCTTTAATATACTTAAGAGGAGGTAAACACTAAACAGTAAAAATTACTTTAATTTTCTGATTAGAAAAACATAAATCTACAAATAAGGAAAACCGGGTTTTTGTACTTTCCACCTTTATAAAAATGTTGTGTACTCTATACAGATATGGATTTTGTTTGTTGTCAAGTCTGCGTATTATACAGATCTTAACGTTAACCATGAATTAATCAATTGGACTGCTACGTATCGACATGATAGTGATATTGTTACGCCTTTCCAACGATGGGCTTATTACGATCCGTTGATTACTCAGGCTGAACAGTTTAATCGTAATTACGCACTAAATAAAACAAAACAAGTGGCGATGATGGTTTCAGATTGCAACACGGATAATGAAAGGGAACTATTATATGCTAGAGAGTTACAAAAATATATACCTGTAGATGTGTACAGTGACTGTAACGAATTAAAAAACATCGAGTCTAATACATTTCTACAAATGCTGGACCAGGACTACAAATTTTATTTGGCTTTCGAAAATTCAAATTGTATTGATTACGTGACTGAAAAGTTTTTTGTCAACGGACTTCAGTAAATATGCATATACCTATATAATACATGTTCATATATATTATAATTTATAAGTAGCATGCTACTAGATACTTTTTCTATTCAAGGAAAATTGAGGAATCGTAAATATATTTTTGGGTTTAGTTCAGTGGAAAAATATCTAGTAACATGCTGCATTTTGTTGGGAATTTAATTTAAATTTTTGATCTGCGTTTCTATGACAATAAATAAAGAGCTACAAAAATCGGTCTCTCAAAAATCGGTTATAAAAAAAAGTTGTACCTAGTCCAAAAAAAAAAAAATATATATATATATATACAAATAGTTTTGCACTATAAATAAACAATTATTATATTATATAACTAAAATATGCTTTATTATAATTTATAACGCTTATTAGTGCTATAGGAATAGTATAAACTATAATCGTTATACGTATAGCTAAATTATATTTGGACCTGTTTCGTTTATTATCAATACATTTTTAACATTAAATTACATGGACATACTTCGTACCTTATTGACTACTGAGTATTGGTATATTATTAAATGAACTTTTTACATCACGTAGGTCTAACGTTCTGCCGGTCGTGATGGGCGGACGCCTCGAGGATTACGAGCGAATGGCGCCTAGGCGGTCGTACTTGCACGTGGACGACTACGAGTCTCCCGAAAAGCTGGCCGAGTACCTACGGCTGTTAGATGCCGACGACGACCTGTACAACGAGTACTTCCGGTGGAAGGGTACCGGCGAGTTTATCGACACAAAGTTCTTCTGTCGGCTGTGCGCGATGTTGCACGACGACGGCGCGCCGCCCAAGACCTACCGGGACTTGGACCGTTGGTGGCGTGGCCCGGGTGTGTGCATAGACCGTGGGCCTGAGATTCCGACACAATTGCCGCCGCCGCCGATAGCGGATAATGACAGAGAAGAACAATGACGGAAGCGGATGTGCCGACGACGTCGATTGACGCGTCTTTGTTCACATTACTATAATATATTATAGGTGCTCTGTATAGACTTACAGTCAAGGCCGTAGCCAGAAAAATATTTAGGGGGGGGGGGATATTAGAGTATAAATATGTTACATTGTATAATAAAATATAAAAATATTATTTAAATTAAATTAATCTTTATTAAAAAAAAAATTAAATCTTCAAAAAAAATTTCGGGGGGGTTGAACCCTACCTCCCTCTGACTACAGCCTTGCCCGCAATAGTATCGTCAACTCTGCAGCAAGTACGTTTCTCTGACATACCCCCCCCCCCTACAATCAAAATATTATAACTTTTTATGTAGGTAATTAATCGAATTAGTATGCAATTAGCAGGTATTTGAGGACTATTTTTGTAATTATTTTCAAGCTTTTAAATTATGCGTAAAACCGAAAACTTCTCATGGGGACTGGAGAAATAGTTTCCAGCCCCTTATTGCCCCCCACACAAGCATGAATTTGAACGACCAAACCCGAAATATATCTGTTGACCATTAAAATACATGACTTTTGTGGGGAGTGTAGAGAAAATATGCGATTACAATCAGATAGTGAAACAAAAATTGAAAAAATAAAAATATTTTGCCCCTCACCCTTTACAAATTTCTATGGACACTCTTCACTTGCCACCAAATCCTATTCTCATTACCCATTACCCGCTCTACCTGTAATGTCCAGAATCCAGATATTATAGTATTATTTTTATTTATACCTCAATTAGATTTCAAATAAAATGTAAAACCAAAAGTTTGAAAGAATAATGTTATTAATTATTATATTCTTATTTCATAGTCTCAGCTCTATATTATTTTTTATAGTTAAGTACATAGGTACCTATAGGCTATATATTATAATATACTACAGCCCGCAAGTATATTCACTCGTATATAATGTCTTGCTGAATGCTGATAGTAATTATATTAGGTACCTATCATATTATAGTCTAAATATTCATCAACATTTTACATTGTACATTTGAACTTATTCAATAAAACATTATCAATTTTGTTATTAGAATACAACTTTTTATACAAAATATTTTTTAAAAAAATATTCCATTCTACTCCGTAAGAACAATTTGATATTTCCATTTAATAAAAGTCAATTGTATTGAGCATGCGGAGTACCTACCAAAAGGGTTACAAGTTTTAAATATTCTCAAAATGAGTATTTCAGTATAGCTACTTCCTTTAACCTCCTGAAAGCTGCATTTTCAACTGAAATTTTTAGAAGAACCTCTCATTGAGTAAACAGTGAACTTACGTAATACGTTACTTAGATACCGTCCACGCATTACATGTAATATAATATAAATTATTATTTGCTTATTTGTACTATCGTCTATCAGTATAATAAGGTGCGTTTCGCCAGCACGGCCACTTTCGAATCTTGAAATCAAATCTTGACAGTATTATGTACTTAATTTTGTACATCCCCCCCTCCCCCAAACAGGAGAAAACCCGATTTTTCCATGCGAGTGCTGGAGAAACGTTACACTAGGACAGCCATCAAAAAATTATTATAAAACTAATTATTAATATTTAAACTTCCCAATGTGTATTTGTTCTACATGGAAATGTTTTAATATGCCGTAGGAACGTATCTAATATTCGAATTATATGTCTTACCAAATACCAATGTCGTCACATTTCCTACTGTGATTACTGCCGACTGACAGTAGACAAAACGCTGTACAGTATTATGGTTTTACTAAAATTATGTGACAATAAGTTAATAATAACCAAATAATATGAATAAACTGAGTTTTCTAACCCCACATTACACCTCTCTATGACTATGGTATATGGTGGACTAAATGCAAATTGCAAATAACAATAATTATAAATAGCAAAAACCTCATTATCTGGTTTGCGCGAGTTGTGATTTTTATACACATTTAGATTGTACAATTAAATGTTGATAAATATGAAATACAAACCGTTGGTACTTTACCAATAATATGATGTTTAACAACGTATAATAAACCTTAGCTGTGCGAATAATTATTTAATTATTAGTTATAATTATAGATATATTAGTAATTGAAATTGTTAATGATTATTGTCATCATGGTTATTAGTTGTCAGTTGTGCAATAAATTATTTACTGATTCATCAGAAAAAACACATACGATTAATAAATATTTAATGATAAATCTTATTATTTAAAAAAATGGACTTACCAAAGACCAAACATTTTTACCTTAATACGTGTATATATTAACATGTAATACATTTCGTAAAATTTCAAAAATATCTCGGCACGTTTTATTCCTTTTGGCTTTTACAATAATAGATACATGATATTGGCACAAATACAAATACTAAATTTTACAGATCAGTTTTAAGATTTTGAATTATTCAACATCAAATAATTTGTGTTGTAGATTTTTGTTTTTCGGTGTTGCAGCTGATTTTTAATTTGTTCTGCAGATAACATAAATTCTTCTAGGTTTTAAAAATTTGTATATTGTTTGAATATATTGTTTCACCCTAGTTTTCGTTAGAAAACTTGTACTTCAATGCACAGAACTTACAAAATAAAATGAACATAAACGTCTCATTTTAAATGTTTAGGAAAATTATTTGAAAACAGATATTTAATAATAACAAATTATTATTTATTAATTTATTTATTTAAATTGATTTAAACATTAAAATAGACCACCACTAATAATTAGTACAATGGAACCTAATAGTTAACACTTAATGTAAATACTTAATGTTAAATAATATATTATGAATTAGGTATATACTATATTTTAATAAGTTATACAATTATACTTAATTGATGATAGGTACCTACTAAAATAGTAAAATAGAAAGATAACCATGAAATTTGACTACAAATAACAAGACAATTATATTATATTGTATTAATTAATAATATTACTTTAATTATTTGTAAATGACTACAAGAGTAAACTCAACAAAATGTACTGCACAAAAATACAGATTAGGTTTATTATTTATTGTACTATAGACAATAGTTGAACACTTTAACACTAAGCAGCTATACTCATATGACAACTACTATAAGGAAGTTATAGGCTACCTATATTAGTCTATATGCGATGTAAAGTAATACAAATATTATACTTCCAGTAAATGAAAAAAAAATGTGACAATATCTGAACAAGCAGCTTCTAAAATTAAAAAAATTATCTATGCAGATATTTTAGAACTCCTGCGCCATGTTACGGGGAATAGAAAAAAATTTATTAAATAACTGCAAAACCAGAGTAACTTAACTGAATTTTGATAAATCCCCTGTTCAATTGCCTAAAATGTTGAGTTAGATAAAATCAATAGGACAGGCAAACAGGAGTTGAAATAATAAACTAATACAACTCTTGAAGATTAAAATGAAAGTCAACTATCATAACGAAATATGGCATATAAAAAAACATAGTTCTGTACTTCTTGTAATTCGGCGTATTACGTATTAGTTATTGAAGAGGTTTACTGTTTACTGTAAAAATATCTATTACAGAAATTGAAGAGAACTTTTTCTAGAATCGTAGGAAACCTGATTTTCGATATTTTTATTAATTAGTTAAATAATTAATCGATAAAAGGTGAAAAAAAAATTGTTAATTTACCATACGATATTGGGCGATTAGAATTCGATATCAAAATTCTGGCTTCTTACGATTCTAGATAAAATTCTCTTCTACAATTTTTATAATTGGTATTTGTACTGTAAGACCCTTAATAACCTTAAATAAAAAAATAATAACTAAAAAAAGTAATAAAATGTAATACAAGCTACATCATAAGAGTTTTTCATATCTTTTTCAAAAATATTAAAGATACATATTATGCACGATTATTCTGTATAAGCATTTCGAGTTCAGATTTTGACATAACCACAGTTAATTTTAAGTTAAAAGCTTAAGAAATATTAAATTTGTATACGTGATTCTTGACTATTTAATATAAGGTATTTCTTACATTTAATATTTTTAATTTTATAATTTCTGAGTCTAATTGGGGTTTTTAATTGCCTGTTAGTTTTTTTATCTGTAGCAGGAAAAATAAAAAGTAGTTCTAGAATAAAAAGATTTCAAAGAACACCTAGAAGATTATTCTCAAAATGTTATCGTTTGTTCATTTTTTTGTGGGACATTTTGTAGCATTTCCTTTTTTCAACAATTGTTTCCCCCAGTGCACTCTAAAAAAGCGCCCACTTAAATTGTGGGCATCTCGCATCTGTTTGTTATATAGTGTGACCACTGTAATGATAATATATATTTTCATCGTAGCATTAAATAAGTAAGAACACAGAGTAAGTGTGACCAACAATAGCTGAACAAACATTTGATACAAAATTGATAATAGTTTTGGAGAAGAAAATAAATATTTAACAGAGGTGATAATAGCCGCGGTTTGGTTTGAAACTTTAATAATTTGTAACTTTAAAGTTATATTTCAGTGGATTTGAACTAGTGGTTGTAAGTTTTAACTAGTATCTAGTTAGCAGTTAATAGGTCTGTGGCTTTTACTGATGGTAAAAAAGTGGCTTATGTTTGAAATATTATTGAAATTGACTATTTGAATTGAGTTTTGAATTAACTCAAATTTTTATTATTACTGTTAACTATCTATTCTTAAGGTATGTTTGTTAACTCTTATATGTTGTAACTTGTAAATACAATCAGCAACCATAAATAAATGTATTATTATTAAACTAATACCATTTTAGTAGTAAAAATTAATAAATTAATCAATTTACTTCAAACTGTTTAGATTAATTGAATATGGAACATAGATTTTCGACGTATGAAACTATTAGTTCCAAAGCATGCCCTGTTTATATTAAATTGAAGTTTCAACAAGTTAAACGAAGACAAGAAACTTTAGAAATACAAAAACAGTAAGTTGAGAGTTTAATTTCTACTATTAAATAAAATCTCAGTATAATAGTAGTCATAGATAATAAAGTATTGAATTAGGATAAATAAAAGTAATCGAACCCGAGGTATGCACAATCATTTACCTCAAATGTAGCATACTGCTCAAATACAATTCATATAATATGAAAACAAATTATTTTGCTCTGTTCTAAATATTATTAATACCCTTTATTTGCAATGTTTATTTATTCAATATAAAATATGTTATTATTTATTTGGATAGTTTTGGTATCAATATCTCTTGAATTTTTCCTGAGTGAAATAAAATACCAGACTCCAGGTTTATTCAAAACTAACTATAATATGACGTCATTTTGAATTAAAGTTTCTGTAGATGAATAATATTTGTAATTTAATTTTAATAATAATCTTGAAGATAAGTTCACAACTTTAATCCATTTATTATAATCACACTTTTATAATAGATATGAGATGAGTGCTCAGAAGTTTAAGATCAATTAATATTCATAACAATTTATTTCAATTTTTATTTTATAAATTAAATTTATAATAATATAAACAGTATAGTACAGTACAAAAAAAGAAGAAAGAGGAATGAAGCACTTAGGGACTGCTGCGGTAAAGCTATTGCATAGCAATTTTGTAGCTATGTATCATGTATTTTTGTATGATATTAATTCAAATTATACTTTTTAAGCGCGGCGACCGAAACACACTTTTTCATCACAAAAAATATTTTTTCAGTCACCACACCAGGTCCACGATAAGAGCTATGCAGTAGCTTAATATGTTTATTTTTTTCATTGATCTTTTATTAGCTTCAAGTACCTACTTGGTCATTAAAACTTAGCTCTACATAAGTTAACATTTATATTGTTAACATGTTGAAATGTCATAAAAAATAAAAATAAAGAACAAATTATTAATATTATAGGTATAAAGATTCATAAATATATGGTTGTTGGTTGTACATACTATATGCATACAGGGGAGTGAAAATATAAAAAATATTAGAAATACACCACTAATTATAATAACAACAATAATAATGATAGACGAGGGTACTGGATAACTTAAGATACTGAAATTTTAATTTGACATTATCAGGGGTATGACTAGGGTTCTATAATATTATATTATAATACATTAGTACAATGTAGATAATGTTTACACAAAGATATTAAGGATAACAATAAATAAATTACAATTTTCTCATGTCAATTTATAGGTACCTATAAAATGTTGAGATTACGCCACCGATTATCTCAGTATTGACTTTTATGGATTTGTTGACTTGATTGCAAGCTAAAAATGTTCAATATTCTATTATTCTGTGCCTACTACAATGAAGATTATGTTATCTTAATAGATATCATTATCTTTTCACTTTACTTTAGTCATAGATAATAAAGAGATATCTATGGTGTTATAGTATAGGTCATGTTTTATACTGAAATTTATATATAGATTTGGGGATTTCCAACCCATAAGATAATACGATTTTCGTACAATATCTCAATAGTCAATATTTCAATTATTGATTTTCAATTTGTTTTAGTTAACTGCCAACTGGTTATATTGTTTTAAGTAGTAAAGCAGCAAAGTGAATTAGTGACTATAACCTTATAATTTAGCATAGTGTACTGTCTTATACTGAAATACATAGTGAATAGTGGTTATAATTCATATTTCTATTTACTTGTATAGTAGTGCCTGACATCTGTAATAGTTTAGTTTTAGTTATACTGAACATACTCTGTAGTTACTCGCGACTTAACAAGTTATATTAAATTTAAGTCTTAAAAAGTGTTCTGTCATAATATACTATAATATTCTTTATTCATTTTGTCTACCACTGAGTTTGAAAATCAATTAAAATGGGAACATCAATGTTAAAATGTTTTATAGAAATCATTAATAAACTAGATTCAATTGTACTCATGTAAGTTTGTTAATTTACTTACTAATTAGTATTCAGAATGTATACAAATCCATTTTGATTTTTGTTTGAGCATCAAATTTATTTTTGCTATTAAAATAACTTGATTATGCACTTTATGTTCAACTAATTGATTACAATCAGTTTGATATTTAAAAAATAACTTTTTGAACTCAATGCCAAATTTAAAATAAAAACTGAGGGAGTTGCTTCGCTGCATAGTTTTCAATTGTACATCATTAATGAACCCTAGATCACTGTAAAGTTTAAATATTTGAAAAAAATATCATGAGTTTATATATATGTAATATGGGTGGTAAGTTTCAAGTTTCTCTTATAATTTATACTGTTTGAATTACAATTTACTATAAAGTGACTAATAATGTTTGGTACATCTAAATTTTTGTTTTCATAATATGTGTATTATATACTTTAATTTGAAATTTTAATTTAATTTATTACTAACAGCTATAATCTTATTTAGCTTATTAATTTTTAATACTATATTTTTTGTTTTAGAAAACGTGATCAACAAATTAACGAAAGAAGAAATATTAAAAATGATGCTGATAATTCTTATATGGTATGTTGCTTCCCCAGTTGTTTCATTTGAAATAAGTACTAACAAAGGATTTTTAAAATTTAATAGAATGTATAACTTTGGATGAAATAATGTTTTTAGTCTCATACCTCTATATTACACAGTTTGCAAAAGTTCAAATTTATTTTTGAAGCACATTATTAAATCCTAATTAAATAGCTTATCCAGTTTTCCTAATATCAACATTTATAATTACAACAATAATTAGGTTAGATATAAATACTTAAGCCTGGTGTAAAAACTGGTTGATTAAAATAAATGAAAGCAAGTCAACTCAAGTTACTTTTACCCTTCGCCATGGCAACTGTCCCCTAATTAAATTAAATAACGTAAATATCCCTGTCGGTAATGAAACCAAATATCTCGGAATTATACTCGACAAACGCCTTTCTTGAATTCCACGCCTAAAACACAAAAGAAAAATAGCAAATAGCAGACTCCACCTTTTTCAGCCTCTCCTAAAATCCAAACTAAAACTAAAAATACTATTATACAAAACCGTCATCAGACCACTATGATCCTATGGTATTCAAATTTGGGGGCCAGCTAAACCTTCGAAATGAAAAATATCGGGACTCTGTAGTAAAAACCGGTAGTGTCCCGGCGAAATCGGGACGAATGGCAACCCTAGTATAACCAGTGGGTGACTTCCCCTATCATGTGAATCATGTTATGTTCATTTCTAATTGTTATCATATTGACTTATTGTACAGATTATGTGTATAGATTGTCTTTTTCTTAATAAAAAAAAAAAAAGATATAAATACTATAATAACAAAATACCTCTTGTAGTCTTTTTCATTAATTATTATTATTATTATATACACTTACTATAAAGCTGGGGTCTTCAACCTTTTTATGCAACGGGCCACGTATAATTGTTTTAACCTAGAAAATATACTTGCTAAATTTCAAATGTAATCGCTGGTCACATATTATGACAAGGCGGCCCGCCAGCTGAAGACCCCTGCTATAAAGAATTACTTTCAGTTATCATTTTGATTTTTGACGCTCAGACAAGAATCATTTAAGAGGACGCTACCCTTGCATTTGTCTTCTTTGTCTCACACTTGTGCAATATAGTAAATATTCGTTCATTATTTTTGTAATTAATGTTAATTAACCTATACATGTTTATTGAATATTTTAATTTTCAAGCAAGATACATTTTTGATATTTCACATAGCCAATACCCATGTCTTGCTTGAAAATTAGAATATTGAAAATAATTGGCAATACTTAAGAACAAATAACATTTTTACCTAAAAGTTTGATAAAAGGTAAGTTTACTCTAATATCAAAATTAACAGCACACAATTGAAACTGGTGAATGATTATTTGCTATATCATATATTTGTAAGACAGAAACAATAATTGTATAGGTAACATCCTCTTAAATCAATATAAATAGTATTCATTATTAGAAAATAAAGTATAACTATTACTACATGTAGGTATGTAAAAAAATTATAATATGTTGACATTCATTAAATAACATAATATAAAGTAAATCACCATAGGAAATCGATGAAAGAAAAAATGGAACTGTGGGGCCAAGCAATGAAGCATATGAAGTTGCAACATCTATGATGTATTCAGAATGGATGCTTGAAGTACCTGAAGACATTGATAATTGGATTGCAGTATTATGTCCAGAAGGAAAACGATGTTGTGTTATTGCTCAAGATGTAAAATGCTTAAAAGTTTTCCAAACATTAAGTTTCAAAAAAATTAAATTAAAATTGTTGATTATTTTAATTTCAGAACAAAACGAAAACAGTTAACAAGTTTGGAACCACACTCAATTATTATCCATCATTATTTCCTTATGGATGCCGTGCATCAAATAACTGTTCATCTCATCGTAAACGTACTGTTTTAGATTGTGTGTATAGTTTCAAGTTAAAAAAATATTACATTTTGGACATTATTGAGTGGATGGGTGTGCCGTATACAGATTTTGATGTATGCTACATTTTTAATAGTATTTAGTTTTTGTACCAAATAGTAACACTAAATGATTGTGTTTTTATTTAGGCTGAATTTAGATTTTACTTTATACAAAGTAAACTTAATGAAATACCAGGTATCAATGAAAAGTCAACTACAAATTTTTACCCATTTGAAGTAAAAATACTTAATATTTAAATACAATGAAATATAGTAGATCAACAATTACATGATTATAAAATGTTTGTTTTTAGTTGGCTCCACGAATGGTTTCTAGAGATTTGTATCAGCATCTTTTGGAAAAAAATCAATTTTTTCCCGATAATATTGAATTAGACGGTATTAATTTTTACTATCCAGAAAGTTTGTACACCCCAGGTGAAACACCATTAATGCTTTGGCTGAAACCGTTCATGATACCTGATGTCTTACAAAAGCCTGTCAATGATCATTTAGTACAATTACACAGACCGCCCGATTATGTTAACATATTCGAGTACAGTCAAAGTTTGAAAAAGAAAAATAGAAGAATTAAGAAGAAGAAGAACTTGACTCCTAATTGTGATAAAATGGAAGTAGAAAATTTGGTTGAGGTTAGTAACATATACATTTTTTTGGTATTATTAGAAATAATTTTTATTGTTTGTAAACAAAAATTGAGCAACTAAGCATCTGTTAACTAATAAAATATCATAATTAATAAATACACCATATGAAAATTCTATAAATTGTTTAGTTAAGATGATGTTGTACATACACGCGTAATTTGGTTAATACACCTATTGGATTCTTACTTATGTTAGAATATTATAATCTATAGTTAATATTGAAGCAAATATACTTACTATTAAATGTGTAGAGAAGAATATAAACTGTGTCCGATTAAAAAGTTTTATTTCATATTTTCATTTTAAAATGAGTTAAAAGTACTTAATTTACTCATTTTTTCAAAATTATATAATGAGTTTTAAAATAAAAATAGAAATAAAATTAGGTCTCTGCTTGAGCACAGTTTACATTCTCTACAAATTTGATGATAAGTAAATTTGCTTTAATATTAACTTGTAATAATCTGTAGTAAGAATCTAGTATATTACCGCGTGTTAGAAAATAGATTTGTTTACAACACCCTCTTAAAAAATGTTTCACACGAGTAAAAACCGATAGGTATCAGACCATAGTCCTAGTTATACACTACATTTTTTCATCAAAAAAAGAGCATCAACTGCCCAATTCCATTTTTATTTTTTTTTTGATATCAACATTACAAAAACAATTGTTGTAAAATCCATTATTTTTGTTTCTAGTCACATGGTTAAAGTTCTCTTCTGTTTTTGGTGAAAAACTGGTATCTTGTATTGCTGTTGTTTTCTTAGATTTTTCCTATGCCAAAGCTGTTTTTCTATATAATTTCATAATCACTCAACAACTCACTGGAACTCTGTTTTACTGGCATAGGATAAGTTACTTAAGAATTTATAATTTCATTGAATTGCCTATTAACCTCATATCGAACTTTAAAAAGCAAATGTGGAAATACTGAAAACTAATAAAATTATGTGACATATTGTTTGAACAGGTAGAAATGGATAAAGATCCTGTCATTGATAATGAAATTTGTATGGAAAACTAATATTGATTTTGCTACAATTTCCAGCCAATATAATGTGATCTTATGCATGTTTAAGAATTGTTATTAATTAATAATAAAAAATAAATAAATAATAAAGAAACCTATTTGATGATTAAAAATAATTGCTTATTTTATTTTATTTACTATCTAAAATAAATATATAAAATATATCTTGTCATTGATAATGCAATTTGTATAGAAAACTTATATTGATTTTGCTGCAATTTTCAGCCAATATAATGTGATCTTTTGCATGTTTAATAATTGTTATTAATTTATTATGTAAAATGAGAATAATAAAGAAAACTATTTGATGATTAAAAATTGCTTACATTATTTAATCTACAAACCAAATAAATGTATAAAATATATTATATCATGAAAAATTCAACTATTTAGTGTGTACTAAAAAAACAAATAGAGGGATAGTAGGTAACCACTCCGCTATTAAGTAGGTGTCGAGTATACCTCAGTATTGAAAAGACTTGCATTTTTGAAAACTATACAGTGTTCAACTGACAGTTGGCTTTATATTTTTCTTAAATAAATTTGTTCTCTCTCTAGCTCAAAAATAAGCAATATTTCAAATTTTGATCATGGTAATATTAAATTATATTTTAATAATTTATACTTATTTGATGTGGGCATTTTTACTAGTAATATATGATGTTCTTACCTACATTCTTAGGTGTCGCTCATTTTGTTTAATATATTTCAATACTATTAAAATTACATCATTTAAGGTGCATTGGAGTAGGTACCTAGTAGCTAGGATAAAAACCATGAGTTACACAGGTCGTGGGCTTGCATTTTTTAGCACATAAGCTAACTTCAATATGTCGAATTATAGATAATAGTCATTATATTAGGTCTTAAAATTAAACCCATAAATGCATTAGGACAGAATCCCAGAAATAACAATTTTCCATAAAGTTTATTTTCAGACTAGGTTTTAAAAAAATATAAATTTGTATAAAATAATTTTTGGCAACTTGTGACATCACAGATTATAAAATAAAGGTGTATAATTTTTTTCAATGAAAACTTATTTGACGATAATAAAATATAACTAAACAATAAATATATCCATTTTAACTGAGCATATTTTGATTTTATAAAAACTAGAACCATTAAAATACATAAGTCATGAATTCCTACTTAGGTAGTTGTTTCCTAATTAATAAGAAAAATTATACATATTTATTTATAGTACAACATACTTTTTCCTAATTTGGCTTAGATTTTACACAACAAAATCTTCTCCACAATTTTTTTCCTACGTACCACAATATTACAGTTATAATTATTCTCATGATGACCACCAAAAACAAACCATCAATTAGTAGAAATTCGTACCAAGTCAATTCACCAGCAGCTGTTTTTAAGTGATGAGCCCCATCATGACGGATCACATATTCAATCCAGTACATAGCTTTATTTAATGATTGTAATGGTTGATCACGAAAAGTCTGTGATAGTTCTGTTGCCTTCTGTTTAAACCTAAAAATATTGATAAAATTTTTGTAAGTGATACAATAATAACATATGTTTTAGAATTAAGATTAAAGGAACTCACGATTTGTCATTCAACATTTTATGTAAAGCTTTTTCAAGTACATCTTCAGAAAGTTCACTGTATTTTATACGTATTGCTGCACCTCTATTCTGCATAACTAATGAGTTGTGTAACTGATCCCCAAACACTGATATAGCCAACATTGGAACTCCAAAGTATATAGCTTCTTCAGTACTGTGTATGCCTCCATGAGTAATAAATAGTACACAATTATGATGACCTAGAACATCAGCTTGTGGAAACCATTTTCTAACGATTATATTTGGCGGAAAGTCTGTTATAGTGTCCGAGTCCCATTTAAATAATACTTTTTGCTTGATTGTGCCAAGTAGCTTAATAAAAATGTCAAATTCATTTTTGGGTAATTGTGTTAGCTTAAGTACTGAACCAAAACTGAAAAACACGACTCCTTCGGGAGCATTATTCATAATATCCAGGAGATCCTAATGAATAATGATAACCAATGACACAAATGTGATATAGACATAGTCAATATTAAATGTTAATAATGTGAATAAATGTATCAATTTACTTCTGGTAGTGAAGATGCAGGTTTGAGGTGCATTCCAGCTACATCTATGTATGAAGGGACAAGTGGTCTTGGTGTTCCAACAGAAAAGTGTGTGTTAATCAACGTCAGTGAAATATTTTTTAGCATGTTTTCCATTGATGGCCGTGTTTCCCAACCAGTATAGTTGAAATATTTATCCATTAAATCCCTCTGTTTTGGAAAGTAGAAAAATGAACTCAAAGCTGTATGTATAAATGACAATACAGTATTTGTCAAACGTTCTATGAACGACATATCGTCACAAAATCCAGAGTTGATATCTGGAATATATGATCCATCATACGGATTACGATGCCACTGTGCAACACCAGCATTCGGAATCGATGGAAATAACTGAACAACAGGTGCGTTGAATTTATGTCCAAGAGCTACAAAACACTCATGGTAGAAGTTTTCGAATAAAACTAAATCGAAATGAAGTCCTTCTGAATGAATCAATTTCTGAACAGATGGTTTATTTAATATTATTTCTGTAAATTTTGGCCACATAATCCAAGACCTAAACGGAACTAAAATTGGTTTGAAATGTTTAGCTACACTGAATGGATTAAAACCTATTTAAACAAATTTAAATTACTATTATCAGCATAACTATAGGTTAGATCACAGTATAAAGGATTATATTATTCTTTATGCTATGGTTAGATATTATTATTACACATCTACCTCTGTTTAATACTTACTCATTACAAGATCTTCATCCTCAACCTGAATATGATGGTAAGATGATGGTGGATTTTTCATTGAGAATGGCGATAAAACGGTCACATTATGACCTTTTTCGGCTAACTCTTTGAGTAACGGTTCAAACGCTCCATAGTGGCTGCGTGCTTTGCTCGGTAAAAATGCTAATATATTAGACGATAAACAACTATTCACTGATATTACGATACCAATGATCAAAACTATACTATTCATATTGAAAACTTCTCACCAACTTGAAGTTTAGCTGATAGTTTATTTATGTAACACCTATAAACAAGAAAAAATTAAAGTTACCATATTTCTTTACATCTAATTGTACATAGGTGCTTACCTATAGGTTATAATAGCGTTCCTTAAAATGTAAGTTATTTTTACTAGGCTGCTCACTATCACTATCAAATATCAGTATTAGAATAAACTATAGTGACGAAGAAATATATTATATTTATTAAATAATGATTACTCAATATATATTATGTACTAAAAGTCAATAAACTGTGGGTAAATAATAAATGACTAAATATAATTATGTAGGTATTTGTTATTAAATAAAATATTAATAACACACAAACTTTGATTGTAAAATTATATAATTGCAGTTATTCGTTTGATAGGTGATACTGCAGTGAATAGTGATCAGTCTGTTATGTAACACAAACATTATTTCTCAGCCCAATGTTTTTAATATAGGTAATTGCCTACATAATAAAATAACAACAATTTAGAAGGTCACCTACTCATAATAAATATTGTGGTTTTAATTTTTTTTTAACATTCTATAAAGAAACCAGGAGTGCATAATACAAGGCGATTCACTAAATTATGCTCATCCTAATGTTTTCTTTAATAATGTATTTAAAAATATTCAAATTCTGATTTTTGGAATTTTAAATAAACTCAAGAAAAATATTTTTAATAACCTATTCGTTTAGATTTTTATACCATTTTATGAATGTCATGCAGCGAAAAAACTGTTTACTAAATATTAAGCAAATGTTTTTTATTTTGAAAATGTTTTTGCACCAACTTATTATCTTCATAAAAATTTGAATAAGAAATTCCTGAGTTATTAAAATCTATATATTAAATAAGAAAGATAATACATAGCCATAAAAAATTAAAAAATAGTTTACAAAAGTATAAAATAAATGTAAAATTTGATCTTTATTAAAGGATTTATTACACAGCCAATTTTTATAAATTATACTATGTTGGTAGATTAAAGTTAAATATTAATAAATAATAATTTTTAAATCATCAAGCAATAATCAAGTCCCATACCTTAGAAATCTATTATACTTGAGATCTACATAAAATTAAATAGGTAACTCAAAAACGACTTGTTCAAACATATTTTAAACAGAGAAGTTGATATTGTGATACCAGAATACCAGATACATGCTTATTTAAGTGGTTCAAAATATAAATAATTAAAAATTATGTAGTCCTTCATAAACTTAAATATACCAAAAATCAAAATTTGATCGAATTAAATCATTAAAGAAAAAAATGCTGGTGAGATTGTCACGGGTCAATTATCCTGTGTAATTTAGTTGACACAAAACACTTGTAATAAAATCAATAAAATGCTTAAACTACGGAATATGGACTAGACCACAAGAGTACTTTTAGTGCTTGTCAAGACTTGATAGTGGAACGATAAAGAAGGAGCCACGGGGATTCAGGCCCGATCCGCCGACATCCAATTCGCCGACTACTCGTTTCGCCGATGCAGAAACCGGTTTCCGGTAAAAATGAAAAAAGTTCCAATTTGCCGACAAAACGTAGTTTCATAAAATACAAAAATAATTTTTATGTGGAAATTTAGAATATTACAATCTACAATCAATATGTTGATAAAACTATACTATGATATTATTGGCATTTGTCAGTTGACAATTAGTAATCATTGCATCGTCAGTTGGTTATACGAGTATAATAATACATTTAAAATGTCGTGGTTTATAATAACTTCTGAGCGATTTTTTGATTTTGCTGTAACTCAAAAACGAATCATTGAAAATACTTGAAATTTTCACACTCAATGTTTATATTAGCGTTATCTATTTATGATTAAATTTTCAAAATATTTAGAATTTTTTTAAGCTAATTATAGACAATTGAAATTTTTGATTTTTTAAATTTTTTTTCTTAAAATACCGATAAAAAAAATTTGGCTATCCAAAAAAAGTTGAACTTATTGTAGTAAAAAAAAAAAAATCAAAAATCGTTGATTAAAATTTTTGTTTATAAGCATTTAAAGTTCAAATATTTATGAAATATATCAAATCCGCGAAAATTTGCAAGGAATTTTTAAGTTGAAAATTCATAAAATTTTTGTGATTTATACTTAAGGTTCAAAAATCTAATACAAGGTTATCCATAAGTTTTCCTTCAAGTAACTATAAAAAAAAAATTCCAGCGTCACTATAGAAAAAAATTTATGAGGGTATGAAATTTAATTTTTTACGAAATCGCGTAAAATAACGATAATATAATATTACAATTGAAATATAGGTAATGATATAATATAATATAATGTTTCACTTTCATTTAGAAAACAGAAGCTTATAATGTTAATTTATAGTATTAATAGTTGACTTGTAAAAAATTACTAAAAAATAATAAAGTTTAATTAGTAAGTATAATTTATCATAATATAGTGTGTCGGAAAATCGGGTGTCGGCAAAATGGTGTGTCGGCGAATTGATTTGTCGGCCAATCGGTACATCACGGCCACGGGATCGGCTAACAAAAATAATTCGATAGGTTATATAGGTAGGTAGGCAAATATCAAAGATTTCAAGGGGAAAGTTGTTATATTAATATTGATCTTGATTTGTCTACAAATATGTATAATTTCGCAACAAAAATATTACTATTGACGTAGTTATTATTGGACCAAAGTGCAAAGTTTGATACACCTACAGTTATACACATAATACACATAAAACGGGCAAATGGCTTAAACTGGGCCCGCAGTTACCATTTTTGTTGTAAGCTCGGCCCGAAAATTTCAGTTAGTGAAAACGTTCGATCGTGATTTATGAACTTGGCTCGGACATTTTAGGTGATGAAATAGGTTCGTAGTAACTCGGCCGGATAATTTTGACAGATTTTAATCGTTTCATTCTCAAAATTCAAAAACTAAAAATAAAAAAAATTGTTAGGAATAACTTGTGAGTAATAATAACTCTTAAAAAATTTACAAATTTAAATAACAAAAAAACACCAGTGAGTGAAATTATGGCTTTTAAATTTAAAAATAGATCTTACTTAGGAATATTATTATTGCACTAAAATTTTACTTATATATTATTATTTACCCTACGATTTTACTTATATTTTTACACTTACAATTTTCTACGAATACATTTTACTAACCTATATTTTTTTGTACTGAAATACTTTACTTTCATTTTTACATTTATATAACGAACTGCATATACTATTAATATAAAAATATTATAAGAAAATTATTAATTATAGATATAAGAAGATTTTGGCATAATATTTTTATTCGTGTTAAGCTTACGCATCAATCATTTTTCTTAGAAATTAACCGGGCCGTGTTTCCAATAGAACTTACAATTTTTTTTTCTCTGGACAATCGCCCACATTGTGGACAATCACCTTTAGTTCGCAAGCACTAAAGACGGACTACTCAATGAGGAACAGTCGTTGTAGTTGTGCGTGTGTTTTTACTATATTTGCACTTTTGAGTTTTGATATACAGTTCAGAATAATCTACTTATGTGTATTAGTCAGGGGCGTATTTACGGGGGCGGATCTGGGGACAGATCCGCCCCCATGGCTCTTTGAGATTGTATAATATAAATTATAATATTATGTACTAATTATTAAATAGATATTAGTTGATAAGTTAGGTTTGATAATTATCAAAAAAATTATTTATGATAACAGAGGTTTTTGATATTATCATTAAATTTCTCGTAGCCACGGTTATAGTTAAATGGTTAATCTCACGGCTAGTTGAGAACGCAAGTCAATAGCAATTTGCAATTAGCAACTAGGTATCATGGTTCTACAATATAAAACCTAAAACGTATTGTTCGTTGGCTCCGTTCCTATGTTCATCCGGTCGGTCGTTCGTCGGTCGGTCATACGGTCTGTTTACCGTTACACAAATACACAATACGATTTTTATTTAGTTTATACTGTTTATAGTTAATGTTCATTTCATACATTCTTACTTTATGTTTGTGACTATTATTTTTTTTCAATAATAATATCATCATGAAGGCAGTTAATCCAAAAATAACTTCCTTTTTTACAAGTAAGGGTAACCTTGGAGTTAAAAGGCCGTGTGAAGATGAAGATTCTGATTCAGAAAACTCAAAAAATAATCAGCCACAGGTACCTATTTGTAACGATGTAATTTCAACCGATATAAGTTTGTTTGTCAATCGACGTCTATCTGACGAAGAAAAACTATTGGTAAGAGTTAATTATTATATAGATTATAAGACTATAGGTAATTAAAATGGTATTTTGACTGTTCAAGGTTTTAAAAAATGTATGGAAGCCCCAAAAAAATTATGACTTTCCGTTATTGGAACTTAATAAAGGCAGGAGCTTAAAATTTGCTAAGATGAAAAGATGAGCTGGCATTAGACCCAAGAAAAATTGACCTTCTTTTATAAGTATTAAATGAGACTACTGAGATTGTTACTGATTATATTAAGATGTAATATAATATGAAAATTATATATTATAAAAATAAATATTTATATGCAATTTAAAGTAATTATGTCATTGTTGTGTTGTTGGGGGGTGTGGGGGGCGTAGCCCCCCACGGGTCTGTTTACTACAGTTCTTGTCATCCACCCCCTAGAAAAAATCCTAAATACGCCACTGGTATTAGTTATTTATTTCGAATTGATATGGTCCTTTTAAAACCATTTTGGTTTCTGATCTTTTTTTAATAGTTTCGTCATATTAGGTTGTAATCAAACGTCAAGACATGTTCAAGACTATTCTAACCGAAGAGTTAAGTGATCTGGTGATGGTGTGATTCATAGTCCACACACATTTACTAAGAATGTAGTTAAAGGAGCAGGTGTAAAGGATACTACTGGTCTATCGGCCACAGGTGTATCCTTTTTTATTAACAGCGCCCAGAATAGTGGCCTGTGCTGGAACTGCCATTGCATATTGTTGAACTTGGTACAGCTATCGTGACACCCGATTCTGTGGTTTCCGATGTGCAAAATTGCAAAGAAACAAAACGCTCGGCTGAAATCAATAGCGGAGCTGGAGCTCAAGCAAAGGGTTAAGGGAGAGGGCAAGATAAATTTAAATACTATATTATTTTATTATCTATAAAGGCTACAACCTTGATTAAAACATCGCCGCAAAAAAAATCCATGCAAGGGCTCCAACCATGTCCCCCAGTTACGCCACTAGCTAAAATGGTATTCATAGCTAATTATGTTTAGCCATGGGTTAATAATTGATCATTACAAATGCCAATTGATACGCTGATAAAAAAAAATTCGAAATTGTTAAAATTTTTTCGAGCTTTGGTATACGTGACACTTGTTGATGAGCACTTCAATGCTTGTTTTTCTTGTTTTAGAAATTTGCTGTTGAAGGATTTCCGAGAAGATTTCAAAACTAATCTAAAATCTAGATATTTTGCAGCATCGGGAAGCTACGTTTTTAAAAAAAAAACCTTCCAAACTGGGTATTACAATTCATAAAAACGGCGATTAAATCATTGATAAAAAAAAACGTGCAATATTTTTTGCAATTAATCAGCTATTTATAAGATTATGACATACATAGTAATTCCATAACTATATACATAGTACCTACCTAATATTATGAAGATGACATTTAATAATAATAAATAAATATAGCTATGGCCTATGACCTCTACAAAATAATTTTATTATCTTGATAAACATAGCCACACAATACAAAATACACACAATATATACAATCGTTTATAAACATTATACATTTATTTTCAATGCAATTAATTTGCAAGATTTATTTATTTGTAACAATATTTTAACATAAAAACAATAAAAAAAATTCCAATCGATACTTTCAGCACCGCGTTGAAACTTCCTTCTAATATTTAACTTCATAGGTAACTCTAAACTTAAGACAATTTACTATAGTAATAGTATGTAATTTTAAATAATATCGAATAGGCGCATGTATATTTATGAGAAACTGAGTAAGTCTTTGGTAGTTCTTACATACAAAACATGTTATTTTTATTTATATCATAATGTAATATCATACATATTATATATAAAACAAGCACTTTAGAAATATTTTACATGTATTTCCTTTATTCGAGCCTAATATCGTAAATAAAAAAATATCACTTTGTTATCACAGGAGGTATAAAATAATATATTGTGCAATATAGTATTAATAAAATAATAACAATATAATAACCTAGGCGTTACAATGTAATATTTAAAAAAAAATACTACTTAACAAACAATAATACTATGCTTTTATATATCGATACAATTTTCTAAATATTATCGAGAATAATTAATGTACATGTACTATTATTTAACAGTGTTCAGAAAAACGGTTTGTACATCGGTGAATAAATAAGTTAAATATTATGTCTATAATTCAGTCGATATTGAGATTTGATTTGTATAAAGATACATAATAAATATAATAATTGTAGAATTTCGATGATATCATACCAGTGGAAGACGTTTTTATGACACTCGTATTATATTATTTTATAATAGAACATAATATTATGCACTGAAATCCACTGTAAACACCAGTAAATAATGTAATAATTATTGTAACAAGTTAACTATAAATTATTCTCAATTCTGTTGTACGGGCATTTTTTACCTCTATAGAACGAATATTTGCTTTTTTGCTGTTTTACTTTATGTTGTACTTAACTACTATATAGTCAATATTATGGAATCATAAAATATTTAATATTGAAACGTTTCAACTGTGAATGTGCAGATATTTGTGTGACGATGGACGTGCAGTAAATCGGAAAAAAATAAGTCTGTATGTATTGACGCCACGACGTCGTCTTATAGTCTCGGAGAATCAATAATATTATATTATGTTCAACAAAACAAATTGACACCGTTCTCGATGCTTATCGTGACATGTGGCTGGATGGGTGGAGTGAGGGTGGTCGATTGAACGAGGCCCCTTCGACAGCCACCAATCGGATCGAATCGGATGAACCCACACAACCCAGCTAACTTATTCCATATGGACATAGTTTAAGGTACGAAAGTGCTCGGCTTACGCGCACTGCACCTTTATCTTCGCGCGAGCTTGGCAGTGGGCAATATCGGTTTTGGAGAATAAAATAAAACATTACGTAGGTATTATGACGTATAATATTCTATAGATGCCGCAGGTCACACGCGTCTGTCGTATACCGTCGTCGAGTCGTCTACTCACTTGCCAGTTGCTGCGGCAGCAGTCCGAGACCCGTCGCGGAAGTTCTTCCGGCGGCCCCTGCGCCGTCTGCGAGCAGCGCTCGACATGCGTACGTGTGGCGGTGGCGGCGGAGCTGGTGCCGACGGCTGTTTCCGGACGTACGGTCGTGCAACGGGCGGCGGTGCGGTGCGCATCGGCGGCAGCGGGGGCGGCGGACCCATCGCGGCGGCCGGGGACGTCTTCCGGGCGGCGCCACCGGGTCGCCAAAAGTCGACTTCCGACGACTGCTGCGGTAATGACGACGATTCGGCGACGATGCGGCGGCGGCGCCGACGTCGCCAGCGACCGGTGATGTAGTCGAGAGCCGCGGCCGCCGCCCGCGGCAAACGCTAATCGCCGTTGACGGCGCCGGCCTCGGCGGACGACTCGATGAACCGCCGCCACGGCATAGCGTTGTTGCAGACGCCCTGGCCGCGCCACCAGTCGTTGACGTTCCGGTAGTGTTTGGCCGGGGCGCCGTCGTCGTGCAGCATCGCGCACAGCCGGCAGAAGAACTTTGTGTCGATAAACTCGCCGGTACCCTTCCACCGGAAGTACTCGTTGTACAGGTCGTCGTCGGCGTCCAACCGCCGCAGGTACTCGGCCAGCTGTTTGGGCGACTCGTAATCGTCCACGTGCACGTACGATCGCTTGGGCGCTATCCGCTCGTAGTCAGAGCGGCGCCCGCCCATCACGACCGGCAGAACGTTGTGCCTGAAACAAACCGTTTGGTTATTTTGTTGAAATAGAACCTTTTCTCACGATATTGCACCGACACCTATAGGTACATTATAATATAGGATGAGCGTTAATCTTATTATGATCATCATTCATTAGACATTATTATTTATTAACATTTAAAGTCACGGCTATAGTGGCGTAAAATATATTAATATACATTCATTTTACGCAACTATTGTCATGTCGTTTGGTGGGAGGGGTGGATCATTGGGAATACCTTGTTTATGAAGAAAAAATAAGCCTTTTAATACGAAGGTATTTATAAAAGCAAAAAAAAAATATTTATAATAGCTGGCGTTTTATGCATTTATTAAGTTATACGTGTATATGGGATGGTCCATTTTGAGTTTTTGATTTTGATTTTTATTAATTGTGAAAAAGTTCTCCGAAAAGTCTGCATTTCATCATTAAAAAAAGTAAAAATTTAAAAATTGTTAAAGATTTTAATGCTGTTTTTAACGGCTTAGAATTATGTAGAAAAATTATTTTCTGAAACGTAGATACTACTATAATTATGTAATAAATTTCAATAACCATTTTCTCTTTTGCCAATTTTGTCTTTTAGTTATTACACACTTCCTCATCGGTGATATTTTAGGCATATTGCGTTTTATTACCATCGTGTCGACCCGGCTTAACCCGACTATAGAATGATGGTGAAATCAGTGATTACTGATTAGTGATTACTGATTAGATATATTGTGTACAAATATCTTGTGTATACCTATAATATTAATGTTGTACTGCAGATGAATAAAGTAAGTTATATACAATTCGTAGGTATATTGTCGCAATGTATATAATTATATTATTATACTCATATGTGAAATACTCGAAAATGCATTACAATAATGATATAGCTAAATTTTTTTATGAATGTTATGACTTATGAATGAAAAACAATATTATAATATTTTCAAGCTTTTTCTTAAAAACATTTCATAAGATGTAAAAAAAAGGCAACGGGTGGCTTCGATGCATCTAACCCCCCTCCCTACCCACTCCAATCATGCACAGTAATCCCTCGTTATCCGCGTATTTTTAGGGATATCTTTCTCGGTTTCGATTATCCGCGGTTGGGTCGGCGATAACATTTTCTTTAATATATACGATGAAATTGTATCTTTATTATACCCATACTTATAACGGATAAGCTACATAATACCTTAATATGTAGATAATATGCAAATTTTTTTCATCCTTCCTAATATATATATTATGTATGTATAAATAATTAATAAATTATATTAAAAAAATAAATAATCAAATAATTGTAAGACATATTACCTAACATTTTTGTGATTTTTAAAATTAAATACAAAATAATAAAAATTAAAAATGGTATGTAAATAAAACCTAACTTCCCGTTTTACATTGCTTTATGGTCTCGTTATCCGCGGTTTCGATATCCGCGCAACTTTGCTGGAACCTAACCTCCGCGGATAACGAGGGATTACTGTACACTACTCGTGAGTTGTGATATCACTCAAAGGCACCACATAAATCAGTAATTGTAAGTTAAGGTACGGTTTCTCTGCAGCGGCTGCAAACTGCAGTGGAACAGCTCGGCGCCATCACGACGCCGAGTCTAGACGCTGACCTATGTGCGGACTGACAGTTGAAGCTAGACGCTGTGAAAGTGTGAAACATGGGTAATTGTTAGGTATTGTTCGGTTTAAAATACACGGCTCTAATTTACCTGTTTTTTGTTTGTTGTTTGTTTTCGGAAATGTTTTTTACGAATTATACTTAACATTTTGACGCAGTAGTATACGGTTCGTTTGAAAGATTTAAAAACTAATAATATTAAGAACGCTATATAAACGTAAATTATTCACTTATAAATGTCTCTCGACGACTTACTGTAGGCCGTTAACGAAAAACTTTTCGGTCACGTAGTCGAGACAATTGGAGTTCTCAAAAGCTAAATAAAATTTGTAATCCTGGTCCAGCAATTGGAAACACTTGTCCGATCTAGGGCACCTGAATTGCCCGCACACGCCGTACACGTCTACTGATATATATTTGGCCAATTCTCTGGCGTATTGCAATCTGCCGTTTTTGGCACCGCAGTTTGATACAAACCACGCCACTTTTTTCGTTTTGTTAAATGCGTAATTTCGTTCTAATCGTTCAACTTGTGTCACTGACGGATCGTAGTACGCCCATCGTTCGTATGGCGTGACGATATCGCTATCGTGTCTGTATGTGGCTGTCCAGTTGAACACATCATTGTAAGTGATCAATTCCGTGTGATACGGTGATTCGAGAAAATATAAAATCCATACCTGCAATGTTAAACACGTTATAAGTACCTAAATAATATAGAATAACTATATATAGTTATAGTAGTTAGGTTGATAAAAAATGTAATATAATTTATTAAATATGTATAATAAAAATTGCTATATTATTAAGTAGGTAATTGCAGGTACTGCCACTGATTAGGACTCCCATAATATGTCGATTACGAGCTATAGAAGAGCGAAAACATATTGTATTATATTAACCGATAGTTATTGCAGTTAAGTGTCAACTGGTCTTATATGTTTACGATTAATTATAACCGTAGCTGATTACACAGTTTATATAGTCAATTGATGATCTTACTTGTTTACCAGTTTTTCTATGACCGGGATGTGAGAAATGATCACGAAATAAAATTGCGTCCACGTCTGGAGCTTCTGATTTTTTCGTAGTAATTGTGCATCTATTCACCGGACATTGTTTCGAGATGAATACACGTTGCCCATCATCTACCATCCAACTACTTAAACCATTGTATAGTAAAATTTTTTTTTTCGGTTCATCTTTGTATCGATAATTAGGCGGTATGAACATCAGTTGGTTTTCAACGCGGTCGCCATTTTTTTGTTCTTTAGGCCACACCTGTGTAGTTCTTTGTCCAGTCTTCGTATCCTTTTTAGCACTGCTTGGCCTCAACAATCCATCTGATAAAATAAAGACGTTACACGTTATGTTAATTGGTAAAAAAATCACAATTATTTGCTTGCTAAGTTTGGTTCGTAAAATTTACATTAATTATTTAAATAATACCCAGCGTTACCTATATATGTTAAGTATCTTTTATGTTTGTTACATTAACTAGGAAATTAAATGTTTACTTACCTTTAAAATACCATGGTAATTGCGATTTTGAAATTTCGTTCGGTTCCATCATTAAAGGTCTGTTTGTTTGTAAAGATTGAATCGGTGACTCCAAATATTGTATGTTCTGTAAATTCAAGTTATTATAGATTAAATAATATACTAACAACACTTAGAACTGACATAATTAATTAATTTTACTTAATCAAGTAAAAAAAATATTCGACGGTACGCTGTTATATTTGAAACAATTTTTATTTTTTATAATGAGAGGAAAAAATTTTTATTTTATAAGTTTGTATTTTTATAAGCTACCTACTTAAGTATAGTATATATTACATAGGTCGAAATCTATAAGTGGCTTGGTGTGGTGGGACACCCGGCATATGTTTTTATTGTGTAAAAGTACTAACGTACTTAATTATGAACTATATAATTTTTATTGTTAAACATAATATTATATGTAATGAAGCAATGTAAATTACCTTGAATTGCTTGATATAATCAATTTTTTTTCATACAACTAACAAATATATAAAACAATTTCATTTATTGCCATTTTATATCAAACTTAAAAAATCTACTATATATGCTATAATGATTACTTTTTCGTTGCTTTTTACATTAGTATAATATAATATTGTATTATGATATTATACACAGATGTCATATTGGAAAATTGGAGTATAAAATCATATACTTGCAAAAAAATGTATGATGGACTACGTTAATGGGGGCACTTAGGTACATGATTAAACACGATTTAAACAAATACCTATTCGAAGAAAGTTTGCCTGCAAACCTTAACAATCTTAGATTTAAAATTCAGCTTAGTAATTGATAATTTAATTATTTTAATTATTACTTTTAAGTTGACTTAGAAATAGTTAGAATTCCAAGCCTGTCAAAATGGGAATGGAAATGTGTGTATTTGGCCATCTTACTGAAAAAAGCGGTAACTAACTACTGCAGTATAGGATGCAGATTAAGGTTAGGTTAGACCTGGATACATCACAAATTTACCACCAATTGAGGTACAGAGAACTATTCCTGTGGGTGCAGTTTGTATGCAGATACAGAACACGAGTACAAAATAGTTACGTAACTGTTTCTGCGATTGTTGTTATACTGCAAACAATTATCTTAACTACCTGTTGTTCGTTGTAATCTGGCTGGTCCTCGGTGGGGAGATGCGGTTGTCCTGGATAATGATGTCCATCTTTAGCCAGCCAATATGCAGTACGGCCACTGTGTATAACAATGACAAATAAAGCTAACATCAGCAGTCCATACAGCAAACGACGTATCTGCCGACCCGTCATATTTTCTATTATTATCTTAAATAATCGACAGTTTTCTGAAACATTGCATTTTATTGTGTTAAGTTATATTTTAATATTATAATAGTATAATAGTATTATACACGCATGAAAAATATTATCCCATTCGCAGATGAAGAAAACGATTATATCTAGTTTTTAGTTATATATTATTTTATATGACGTGTCTAAGAGAGTATTAACACATTTTTTTTTTTCAAACAAATCACACGTTCGCAGTCATTTGATGTATAAAATGTGTTGAGCTATTAAATTTAAAACGAAAAATAATCCAGAGCCTCAAAGTAATACATTCTTAACACATACACAATAATACTTTAATAATATTAATAATACTTTTAAACTAGTATTTAAAATTTTTAAAAGTACGTAACTGTACTGTGTAATTTAATATATCATTCAATTTGTGTAGTTAAATATTGTTTATCAGTACTTGTGTCACTTCAATTGTTTTTGAAAGTAGTCATGGAGTATCGTCTTTTGAAGTGATTAAACCCACTTGTATTTGAAGGAAATATACAATTCACAGTAATGAGTAATGACTAATGAGGTACTTGTTAAATAAAATAATCAATAAAATTCACGAAAAAAATTTTTTAAAAAAATTATTTTAGTATGACAGTCATTTATTACATATTGTTGATGGTTATTTTTTTTTTATTATACAATGGCATTACGCCAATTTAGCTTACGAATAGTGTTAATAGTGAAAATATCACTCTTACTCGAATACTATAATAACTTGTTTTACATAACTATACATAACTCATCAATACACACAAGAAAATGTATCTATAATTATAATTCATAATGTATATTCCGGTTCGAAATGACGTTAGGGTATAACATTTATCTTTTTATAAATAAACTCATAAACACAACAAAATTGCTTAAAACTGTATCAATGACCTAGAAATTATAGGAATGATTATTGTCACTGTTTATTTCATAGTATAACGTACAACGTCATATTATAATAAAAAATAGGGAGTGGTTTGATATTTTTTATCAAATGTTTAAAGGTTATTACTTATTTGTTATGCTTATGAACTACGAGTGTTATTATTTTATTAACTTATCTAAAAATGTAAATATAATATATAATTAAAGCAATACATTTATTTACGGAGGTTAATAATTAATAATTATTCTCATGAAATATCCAATTTACTAAAATTTATTAAGACTGAAAATGTATACAAAAAATAATTATACAATATGAATATATGTAAGTACACAATATACCTTATTACAGTATATAGAAGATATGAAAAAGTATGAACAACAAGTTAACAGTTTTGTATAACTTAGCACCTGTTGCAACTATTGTGGTTAAATATGGTATGAAGTAAATTGTTAAGACACTAAAATGTATTGACCGTATTGTATTAATACACATATATACAAGAAAAACTCAGTAAAGCATGACTCGTCTAACATTATAATTTTAATCAAAATAGTGATAAATTGATAAGTTATGATCGCTAATAGTGTGGATAGTAAATAAATGATTTATTAATCAAAACATATAACATAGAATAAAAAATGGTTAAATTGGTTTACAGGAAATTCAAAAATAATTTTTATATTTTATCTTTAGATATTGTATGTGTATGTAACGTACGTAGGTTTGTGTAATTATTTAGTGTATGTGATGTGATGTATGTGTATAAGCATTATAAGCATCGTATAAAGTTAAATTTTATTTACATTGAATCTAACTTAAAAACGATGTAAGAAATAGGTACCTATAACTGGCCATTTTATATGTAATATATATATATATCCGATGTATGTATGTGTAGTAATTTATTTTAGATAATTAAAAACTAAATGGTGTGAAATATAGTGGCCTCCATGGCTCCATTATAAAAGAATACAATTATACAAGGGATTGTATATGACATGCATGTTTCATGAAGCACCCTATATATTATATTATACGGAATTGATTATCCTCGATTCGTGAACTTAGTTCGTTTTAATCTTTTATTTATATCTCATATTTTAGTCATGCAATTCTGTAATTCTGTCTTAATTGTCACCGATTAGAATTCATTTTTTTTTTTATTGGTCTCGGCAGCTATGGCTGTTAGCTATTGAAAGGGTCACGGTTTTTGTGGGGTTGGTACGGTTAGCTTGGAAACTCGTGTATGTGTGGTAAAGTTTTTACCACCAAGAACCCGGGTGGTCACCCATCTGGGAACTAGTGGCGTGACTGATTGCAGTAACCGCACCAAGCCAAGCCACAAGAATTTATTTATAACAGTCAATAAGAATCATATTGTGTACAGAGAAATGAGGACAACTTCAATTATTTATCATCGGAATAAAATAATTAAAAAAGAACCCATGCAATCTATCTCTCAAACATTTAATTAAATTCAAACTGGTCAAGAACTAAGATATGCAATTATTATTATATGACATTATATAAAAAAATGTTTGGACTTTGACCTCCGCATCACCTATAACCATTAATTCAAGCATTGTTTATTGAATGTTATAAGAAAGTATTCCTTCATCTGAATTCAGAATGTATAAAAAAAATAATATTAATTTATTACTGAAAATGCTATTTGCTAATAATTTCAAAAAAGCAATTCATTTGATAGAACCTATTATTTGTTTGGCCATCCGTTGAATTAAAAGGATGCTGATTCCATTTGGGCCAGAGTTGGTGGAGAAAAATATAAGCTTTAGGTTTGAGTAATTTAAGCTAAAATCAGAAATAAGTAACTACTTAAAAATATTTTTTGATCTTCCCTTAACAAGCTTGAAGATGTGGAAAACTGTTTTACCGATGATAAATGTATCAATTTTACCGTACGAACATTGTTTTTAAGTATAAACATTTACAGATTAAATTTTACATACATATTATATGGCTCCTGGTTACAACTTTTCTCCTTGTTTGTGGGCAATGTACTATTCTGGTTCAATTATACGGACAACAATTAATAGGTGTGCGCTTTCAATTCAACATTTTTTTTCCTCTATTAAAAAAAAAAAAACGATCAACAAAATTCGCAGCAGTGATGGTCCAATTCAGAAAATAAGACTTGAAATATGTGAAAAACAAGAATTTTAAGAAAAAATATGATTAAGTACGACATATGAACGAAATAAGTAAAAACACGTTTTGATTAGTTGTATCAAAACTGTATCATTCAAATTTTTACCTATCCATAAATAATAGTTTAATAATATTTCAATATAATAAAATATATATATATTTTTTTTATCATTATTATGATTAGTTAATAATGAATTATCGATGAAAACAATATTTTTTATGTACACAATTACCAAACGATGGAAAACAATTTTTTAACCAACCTTTAGCAATATAAAATTGAATGGTAATACAACTGTGATAAAACTTTACACGTAAGAGCTGTAAATGAATTATAGTTTATTTTGATTTTTTAGTTTTTCATATTATTTTACTATTCTACATTGTATTCAATGACAGTTCTAAAAATTATTTTGATAGGGTTAAGCGCACGCAAGCAACTGTTTAAATAAAAATACTGGAAATATTTAAAGTACACATTTCAGAAATTCATGAAAAAATACAATATATCGTTGCATATATGTTTTACATAAATTGTAAATTGTAATATAATATATGTAGGTATTCTAGATTGGTATTATATAGGTATGATATTTTAATTATTCGGCAAGTGAGTGTAGTACAGTGATGTAAAATCAATATCTTTTCGGTGGAGGATTACATTTCATAAAATAAATAATATATTACATTATTATAATATAAATGTACCTACAGTATGTACAGTCAATTAACTATAGACTATTAATTTGTTGTAAAAAATTACATAAAATTGTCGGTTTCAAAACGGTAATGGTAAAACTAACTAAAGTAATGAGTGGAATTCGTTCAACATAATTTAAATTAATAACAAACATATTACGTAGTATGTACCTGCTACTATTATATTAATAACTCGATCCGTGGACATTTAAACATTAATACAAAGCCGTATAAGTAAACCATATATTAACCAACAGCAAGCTCGGAAACTCGAGTGAGCGTAAAAAAATAAATAATAATAATGATATGAATGGCATGCCGACCAGTTGCTTTTAAGAGTGCATGCTTGAAGTGTTTTTGTTATCGATTTCCTAATTGGGTGGTCCGATATAATAACAAATAATGGTACTATTTCTCTTACACACAACACACATATTATAAGAGTATCGTATTTATGCAGTAGTGGAAAGAAATTATGAAGTACTAAAAAAAAAAAAAAAAAATAAGGGTCGTCGTGTTTGAGGGACTTGTGCAATTTAATTTATTATAATATTATGTTGAAGTGTCGGACTATATTGGCACAATGGCACTGTACCTATGTATAATAATATAAAAGTTCGTGTGAAATAATTATAATACTAATATCATCATGATAATAATTATTAGGGCACGGATTTTAATGAAATGAAAAAAGTCATATTATGTAAATATTTATGTTGTCATTTTTGCCAAAACATGTACTAAAAAACATGAAATATTTAACAAAAAGTTTTTATTTAACATTAATGATTCTACAAGAAAAAATAGAATAGGTATGTACTGAATAAAAAAACAAACAGACGATAACAAATAAAGTACTCTTGAGTACTAGATTGTCTAAATTGGCACTTATTCTTATTTATACCTACCTTGTCGAAAATCGTTATCCATATCTTATCTACTTTATAACAACATTCTCTGTTACAATTTTCCACAGAATGATTATTATTCCCAATAAGTCAGTGAAAACGTAAAATACGAAAAAATTAATAAAATATTCAAGAATATTAGTTAACTGCAAATTAATATTCGTGATCATTTTTTATCAGAATCAAATAAAACATTACATTCAATATAACAACGAATTTGAAATAAGAATCCAGGTCCTAAATTAATATTAATAATATATCGGCAAGAGTATGACAATAATTTATTGCACATATTTATTGGGGGGCTCTTACGTTTATAACCATGTTACCGGTTTATTGCGGGTAGGCGGCCATAATTCGCAAGACATCGTTTTGACGGAATAATAAAATTGTATTATAATAATATTATGTTATCAATAAACAGGGCGATGAACAATTAGCCAAGCATGCTCACCCTCATTTTTTCATTTTTTTAAATTGCCAGTTTGGGCGTTGAATTATAATAAACAAATAAATTTAACAATGCATTTATTCAAATTCCTGATATTTTTGGTACTAAATGATTAATGACTTTCTTATGGCGGTACAAACTTTTGTTTTTCAAATGAATACCCCTCTTTTACTGTAAATCATTTAATGGATAGTTAAAAAAAAATATTTGTCGATGTACTTAATTCAAAATTCGAACAAATAGTTTTTCAGTTATTAAAATGTTTATACTTAGCATATAGTATATGGAGGTCTTTTCAAATTTCCAAATCCTAATACTTATATTCCAAACCCATTATCGCCTATATTATCATATTTACACAAAGTTAAGAACTATATTTGTTCGAATAAATATGTTCAGAAATTATTGTCCGCTGAATAATTTACTGTACGCAAGGCGGATTATTATTTGAAAAATAGAAGTTTGCATCCCCACGGGACAGTCCTTAAGTTGTAAAAAATAACCTAAAGAATTTAAAAGTATATGGTCTTTCAGTATAATATTAGGTATAATTCAAAAAATCAGATTTTGAATAACTGCTTTATTGAAACAGAAAAGGGGGTGAGCCTGCATGGTGAATCATTCCGTATGTTATTCGCGATTCACGTCAGACACCATCATCCCTGCACGTGAAAATAAATACCTAAATACCTCTGAAAATTATCCAGATTATCCGTTTTTTAATAATTTGTCTCATCTCGTCCGAGTAGTCCGCACTAAAATCGTCAACGGACGGTACCGCACAAACTTATTGTTATAATTATTATTATTATTATTATTATTATTATTATTATTGTTATTAGTATCGTACGGTGGAACAGTCGAACCGTGTCCGAGATGAGCGTCCGCCCGGAAATCCATGGTCACGAAGAGTCGCGCAAATACCACCGCCGGTTGGCTTGGCTGTCTGTGGCGGTGATGCTGTCCGCCGTCGTCGCTGGTGCTGCAACCGACGCGCGGTCGTCCCCGTGAACGTCGTCGCCGTGGCCGTGCGCCGCGCTGCGCTGTGCGTGTGCTTGTGCCGTGCTGTGCGCGGCGGCAGCGGAGTTGGACGACGGCGGCCCGCACGCGCACGCACGCACGGCAGCGAGCTACGGCGGCGGCGGTGGGAAGAAAGTTTCGCGAGCGCAGGGACGGCGGCGGCGGCGGCGGCGGTGGATAACGCGCGGGCGCCACTCGTCCAGGGCAAAATCTATAAGGGCCTCCACACCACCGCCGCCGCCACCATCATCCACTCCGCGGAACTCTGCCCCCGCGGAACTCTACCCCCGCGGAACTCTACCCCCGCTCGCCAATCCGTCACCGTCACCCCACGCGGCGGCGGTTTCCAGCCGGCGGCCGACCCATGCGCAGTGAGCGCCGCTCCGACTGGACAAAAACGAGTCGAAAATTAGTTGCCGCGAAACTCGCGATTCCGCCGGCGCCGCCGTTTCAACGATATTATTTTATTTCTCTATATTTATCGCGTATTGTGTGCGATCATGTGACGTCATACGCGCGAGCGGCACGATTTGCAATAACACTCCTTCGCCCGTCCCCGTCGGCCGCTCGCTGTTTTCGTGTGATCCGCGTACAATGATTAATTATTTAGCGTATACGATGAAATGAAGGGAAATCGACAATTTCAACTATAACTATTTTGATTTTAAACACCTCGTTTAAAGCCCACGCCGGCAATCGGGACCCTAAGCGTCGACGCCAATACGTTTTGTTAAAAAAAAAAATACCTTTTTTTTATACACATTGATGGCACGCAGTGTACAGTTTATATTTATTTAAGTAACACCTGTGTTAAAAAAAAAAAAAAAAATTAAATAGGTACTTCTGTCATACAACCATAATAATAATAATAATAATAATAAATTAATAACCTTTAATAAAGTAAGTAATATGTTTAAGTGGGTCGATCGCTCGATGATGAAACCGTATAACAACAATACTTCAGAAAAATAAATTGCCTACAAACGATATAATATATCTTTTAAACTGTCTTAGTGGCTATAGCGACTTATTGTTTTGCAGGTTTAAAATACTTTCAGGAGTTTTTAATAAATTGTAAGAACTGAATAATTACTCAGAAGTATTATCTCTAATTACATGCTATACTGGGGTACGTGTTATTTATTAAATATAGGTGCTTTCACCTCATACTGCAGCGTAAACATTAATTTATTTTTCATATAAGTGCCTATTTATAGGGACCGAAAAAACATTTAGTACAGGGGCCCAAAATCTGATGTGGGGAGACATGGGTACACTACACCTTATTAGTTTCCTTCAAAAAGTATCTTACGTCTTTAAAATAAACAATATTTCGCATAGTTACGATCGAGACTCTTATAATCTATTTAATTGGTATTTACCTTAGTAGTGCTGGAGTAGGTGTGTTACTTGGAATAGAATTGTTTTTGTTTAGACTAATAGTAATTAGTATTAGCAGAGGTGCTGAAGTGTTAAATATACACTATCAAATCGTAAATCGAGGCGCCCCCCCCACCCCATCGTCCTCCCCATTATTATCAATTTATCAATCAGCTGCAAATCAAAGCACCCATATAGTATAACCACGTCATTTAATTTTTAGCTGAACAAATATTTGAAATAAATATATATTAAATATATATTTATATTTTTATATATATATTTTTTAAATATTTTTTTCAAACACTTTTGATTCTGAATGTATTTATTTTACGATTATGAGAGCTTATTGTATTTAACTGTTTTTTATCCAAATTTTTTACAAATATTCAATTTTATCAATCGTGTATACAGTTGTTGTTTTTTTTTATACATTTTTAGTTTGAATTTGTATGAAATTATATATTTAAATAGAAGATAAAAATGTTAGTTATTTTGCTATCAATTATTTAAAAATACTGTTCATACTGTAACCAAAATATCTAAAATATATAGCCTACTATGTTAAATACTTAAATAGCAGTGGTTATTTATTAATTATTCGTAGATCGTATTTATTTATCTTCATAGTTAAAATTCTGTATTCACAGCTGGACCCTAGTGCCTTGCCTTAAGATTCGTCCCTCTTATCAAGAAAATCTTCTTTAACATATAATGTCATAGTTAAATTAAGAAATCTGTGCCACTAAATGTTAGCACAGCAGTTTTAATCAATTGATTTAACAATTTTATTAATTTTTCATTACACGGATAACATTTTTAAAAAATATGGTGCTGGTTTTTTAATAATCCAATTGAAGTTATTTATTTTTAATAACTAAAAGTTATTGACATACGTCAAAAGTATGTTAACATACCGGATACGTTTATAAGAAACTTAAACAACATAAATACTAATTTAACAAATTGTATTATTTTAATAGAAGTACATGATATATTATTTTTTGGTATGTATGCCTATAGTTTCTACTGATAATACAAATTTATGAAAATTATTAAAAATGTAAAAGTTAGAGAATTTTTTTTAATTAAGTGTAGCTTGGCTCAAGCAATTACGAAATTAATTTTTGTTAATGTTTTTATATCATATTATCATTATGAAGTAATTTTATTATATTCACTAATTATTATTAAACTGTGTCATGCATTGAAAACTAAAAAAACCTAATGTTAAATTATTTTTGTTTAATTGAATTTTAAGTCTGCTTAGTGATCAGGTACCTACATTTGTTACCCAAAAATATATAGTTATGTGCTATGCATACTGTACAATACTGCAAAAACAATTGAGTTCTTTGATGTTGATGTTATTCCCTACATCAGCTATTCTGTTGGTTACCTAAATTAGAAACTGATACAAGATTCGCAGTTAACTTGCAGCAGTTATATAAGAAATAATATAAAACTGCGTGTGTTTCAATAGTGCTTATTTTAGTACTTATTTGCATAATTAAAACAAGGCCAAACTTTTAAATCTAAAATCAGCTTTATAGGATCATTTGTTATAAAGATATATCAAGATAAAGTTAGAATTTGGCCTAAGTCTAGTATAATATGTACGCACTTCTACAATACCCAGCTACTACTTAGTTATATATAAATTTAGAAACATAATTTTGGCGGGCAGGTTTAGTAGGTATATATTCCAATTTTTTCGTTCAGTTATCAATTATTTTGGAATTACTCTTCCCGTTATTATCAAATCAAACAGTTGTGCTCATTCATGACGTATTCTATCCAGTTTTCACTTTTCTGTTTTCGGTACCTACCCATGTATAATAAAATTTAATTACCTATATAATAATTAATAGCCATTAGCCAATCAGAAAGCTACCCATCTTTCTATAATTTAATATGATTGCGGGCTAGCTATAACCTAATGCAAATGCAATGGAAGTTTAATTTCCTAATATAATAATATCTATGTCTCATACTTTAATTGTTTCAATTCTATACTGTACAGCCGAGAGGTGGTGCCGACAGGGTTATTCTGAGATAATTGACTCTCAGCTAAAATGTGATGATGGACATCTATATAGAGGGCACTGAGCAAGTATTTGATAAATGATAATTAAGTATTTTGTATTTATAGGTACAATTACTATAGTTCTAGTTTATACACTAGAAGTTAGGTAATAATTTATATTAATTTGCAACACAGATATAGTATCATTCTATCATTTTTATCAATACAAATCATAATATTGATATTCGATATAAATTTCAGTACAAATTCAGTAACTACCTACATTAAATCACATATTTTATAAAATGTAATTAAAAAATGAAAATGGCTGGGTACTAAAATAACTACATGTCTACAAGTGTTACAAAATAAATATTGATATAATATATTCATTAAGGTTAGTCTAATGCTTGAATCCAAAATTAATGATACCGGTATTTAAACCGAAACCTTTTGAAAATATTGGAACTAGAACCCTTTTAGGATTTTCTTAGGAATCAACACCAGAACCTGTACCGATATTTGTTGTCAGAGAAATTTTCAGTTCAATATATAATAGTTTCAGAAAAGATAAAATATGAGCAATTATCAACATTATAATACATAAATTGTTATTCACCCGTCTGTTAACGGTATTGACCCATCGTTACGATCATTTCCCTGTAGTTTATTAAGTTTATTGATATTTTTAGATGATGACATCTAAATAGTGACATTGATGAGTGATGATTATTAAAATGATTATTCAAACAATAAAACCGTCATTAATAAGTATTACGCACCACGCCACCATACAAGTTGTCATCAGATTATGGCATGAACTAATAAATATACACACATATATATTTATATAGGTACCAATACAGTATACGTTAACACCATATATGCTAAATATATGAATAGTTTCTTATAAAAATTACTATAGCATATCATACCGAAAACGTCAGATAAGTATTAAATTAAAAATACTTATCGATTAACACAAAGTATCAATTTTATTGAAAAATACTCAATATATTGCACGATTTCCGCCATAGAATTTAAGTTTAAACTTTCAGAACTTACAAGAGTAGATCGCAGATCATTGCCAATACCTATAATGCAAGTTAATCAAGGAACTATAAAGGTTTGTACGAAATGGATTCTAATGAGTAGTGCGGGCCATTCATATCAGTATAATTTTCAATCATATAGAAATGTATATAGGTAACTATGAAGGCTTCGGTGTTTAATAATCTGGTCACATACATATCTTGAAAAGATCTAAGATACTATTTTAATAAAACCACTCTTGATAGAGACGATACATATTTTTTTATATTAAACTATGGAACACTGGTTACCTCAATTTTTTACAACTCTTGTCAACCAACCATCTTTTTAAAATTTGTTTTGGATGTTTTTAAAAAAATTTTTTATTATTATTTATTAAAATTTCCCTGACATTAAGTCATCTAAACTTATTTCTAACATAGTTGATTTCAAAGTAATAGTAAACTTATTTGTTTTTCAAGATTTTTACCCATTAGGAGAACTATTATTTTATTTTAGAATTTTTATAGTTGAAGTTTGTACTTACTTTTTTATTTACTTTTGAATACTTCTAAATGCTAGGGAAAAGGAACGGAACTTTTATTCTCTATTTTTGAACCGAAATA